TTTTTCTTTTTTAGTGATTAAACATAGGTAATCAGTCCATTTTTATATTTAAGATTATCATTGAGCTCACCTCAACGAATGTTGTCTTTAAACATAGGAGAAAGTCACACAATTACACAACAAAAAGTGTACCTCCAAAATGCAAAATTTATGCAATTTTGATCTGATACTTTGGAACAGACCTATTTTAAAACTTCAAACTAGTTCTTCATCACGAAAATGTGATCAAAATCCAGCATCTGAAGCAAGTTTAAGAGTTTTCATCCCTTGATGCATCATCTGGGCAAGTTTGGTTTATTAAAGCCTTATAGGGTGATAGACCTGCACCCATAACTTTTACCTAGTCCATTATCTGGAAAATGTATGTCGAATTCAGCATCCGGAGCAAGTCCATTAGTATGCATCCTAAGATGTATTATCCATGCGAGTTTGCACAACATAGGGCTAATAGTTACTTAGAAATGAAACCTGCATAAAAATTTAACCTCTTCACTCATCCAGAAAAAAATGTAGGACAGATTCAGCATCTGAAGCCAGCCTAGTAGAATGCAACCTTAAATGTATTATCCATGCAAGTTTGGTCATTATAGAGCTCATAGTTACTTGGAAATGAATCCTGCATCAAAAACTTTAACCTGTTCATTCATCCACAAAATGTAGGTCAGATTCAGCATCTGAAGCAAGTCTGGTAGTATGCATCCTAAGATGTACCATCCATGCAAGTTTGGTCATTATAGGGCTCATTGTATCTTGGAAATGAACCCTGCACCAAAAACTTTAACCTGTTCACTCAACCAGAAAATGTAGGTCAGATTCAGCATCTGAAGTAAGTCTGGTAGTGTACATCCTTAGATGTATCATCCATGCAAGTTTGGTCAACATAGGTTTTATAGTTACTTGGAAATGAAACCTGCACCAAAAACATTAACCTGTTCACTCAACTGGAAAATGTAGGTCAGATTCAGCATCCGAAGCAAGCCTGGTAATGTGCATCCTTAGATGTACCATCCATGCAAGTTTGGTCAACATAGAGCTTATAGTTCCATGGAAATGAGACCTACAGCAAAAACTGCATCAAAAATGTTAACCTGCTCCAAAAACATTAACCTGGTCATTCCTATGCTGAAATTGCAGCATCTGAAACTTTGACTGGTACAATGAAACACATTATAGAAGCATATTCCATGCAAGTCTAATCAATATAGGACATAGAAGTACTTAAAAAGAAAACTGCTCCAAAAAACTTAACCTTAACCTGGGACGCTGACGCCGACACCGACACCGAGGGTATTACATAAGCTCCCCCAATTTCGTTGAGGTGAGCTAAAAAGTGACTTAGACTAAGCATTTTTGCAATTGATTTTATTCTTTATATTAATTGTCACTGATTTAATTGTAATTTCATCCTTTATATGAAAAAAGTTAGTGAGGTAAAAGAAAATTTCACAAAATTATTCAGAGATGATAGTTAAAAACTTTGATTTTTATTTATTTTTTTTTAAATCTTAATAAATCAAGTAGTAAGATTATAAAATACATTGTATATCCAAATTATTGCGGGTGATGAGATTTTGAAGAGTACAAGAAGTGTATTCAGAGTTTTGGACATTCATGTATTTAAATGCTGGATTGAGCAATTTAATCTAAAGCATGGTGTGTTGATGCTATTGTTTACTAACAATAGGTTTTTATGTTGGAAGTGACAAGACTTTGAAGCAATGAGAAAGAATAGTATGCTGAAGATTATGCATTACTGAAAGAGCTAGAATACAATTTTTCTGAAAAATATATTAGCCATAAACATGATTAAAAGAAAAATTGCATTTATTTTAGTGATGGAACGATTGTCGCCGACAATTTTTTGTTGACCGACAATCGATTGTCGGTTTTATTAAGCTCTTCGATGCTACTAATCGATTATAAATAAATGTCGCCGACTTTGCTAATAAAAAATAAAATTGTCATACTTTAATTTTATTACCAAATCCAAGTGCAAAGAGCATAAAAATACTGATGAATGTTGAAAACATGGAAGGATTCCGTGTCTTGTTGATACTTTTACCGCCATGATTAAATATGGGGTTAGCCTAATACCAGGAAACGGTAATATATTGCAATGTTTTACCATACAAAGGAAAAAATAATTAGTCTAGTCAATCTTTTGAACGTAATTGTAATCATAAATACAAGTCTAACTTCTGGATAATTACTTTTAAAACTTGCAATTTTAACTGATTAAAACTAATTTTAAGAAATAAATGTACATGTATTAAATGAAAGGTGGGACTAATATCACCTAAATACCCATTGCATGGACTTAAAAAAATAATAATAATAAATTCCCATTCTGTTTCAATACTCCTATATTGTTTTAAAGTAAAAAAAATAATATTTTCCACTTTTTAAAAAAGAAATTTCAATTATTATTTTTGAATATTTTATGTAAAGTAAATGTTTTTTTGTAAAAGTCTGACAGAAATCTGAATAAGTTTAACTTTTCTATATTAATTTCATTAAAGTTTAAAATTTCGATTATAATCGATTATTAATCGATTATACCCATCCGATTATTACCGATAATCGATTCTGATTTTTTTCCGATTCCACATCACTAATTTATTTACAGCAGAACACCTTGGCACATAGATGTGACTTCATACAGCATTGAAATCAACTCACATTTACCTGTAAAATCTTATCATACACCTGAGTAACCTCGCAACCTACATGAACATGTAGATTCAAACCTAATGTGATACTAGTTAGATCAAATTGTATACACTATTGAGCTTTCCAGCAAGCTATTGAAAACTTTTCAGGGATTTAATTTTATAATTCGCTGTAACAGTATGACCTTACACCAATAACTACTAAAAACCTTTATCTTAATAGATGCCAAACTACTGATTTCAAAATGATGACCAGACTTTGGAAAGAACAAGACATGCATGTTTTTTTTCAATATATACACTTGTATCTAGGGGTGGGACGATATATCGATATACCGATACATATCGATATTTTCCTCTAAGATACGGTTTACGATACAAGCATTCAAATATCGGTACGAAACGATACACGAACGACCTATCCAAAATTGAAAATTAAAGTACATGTCCTTGGAAAATGGCGGCTTGTACGAAGCGAACAGATGATGTTGATTATTGAAAACACACTTTAGAACTAATAAGTCGTTGTTTAGGGGTAAAACGTTTTCACTTTTAAGCAGCCTCGGAAGATTGGACAAGAAAAGTTCAGTATGTAATGCGTGCTATACACAGAAAGCATCGTTTCCAGAGCATTTGATATTATTAATTGTTAGTCCATCTCGTTTTTTTTTTTTTGTAATCTCAGCTTTGCTACAGACTTTCAGCAATTAATAAAAATGTAAATGTGATTTTTTTTAAAATGAATTTTAGTTAGTGTTCTCTGATGAACTACACAACTATTTGTAAACAACTTCTTAAAAGTAGTTTGGTAATAATAATATGTACATGTGTATTTTTGTTTTTGCATAGTTTAAGTGAATGATATTGATGAACTTCAAGCATTAAATTCAAAGCACACATGATTTGATATAGAATAATTTGTTGATTTAATGTCAAGACAAGAAATGAAATAAAATACTAATTTTTAAAAGTAGTTTTATAATTTATCAAAATATCGAGATACGTATCGTATCGTGCCAATATATTGAGATATGTATCGTATCGCAAGATCTGTGTATCGTCCCACCCCTACTTGTATCAAACTTTAAGTAGATTGTATTATAAGTATAATGTCATTTTAATAAATATCAAGAACATCAAACTTTAAACAGATTGTGTTAAGTATAATGTCAAAATGAGTAACACCATGTAGGGTTGGACACCGGTACACGGTACCAGTACCGTACCGAATAGTTACTTCAAAAATACCGGTAAAATACCGTTTCATTTAATACCGGTACTGATAACGGTATTTCTTAATCTTTAAAACATTGTTATACATTTAAAATTATTTTTAGTTAAGATTCCAGACTCGCTTTAATGGAATTCTCATGCATTGAAAGGTTAGGCTAATTAACGAAATCAGTACTAAGTTAGTAAGTAAGATACTTCCTTTCTACAGCCGGTATTCGAGGGAAACCAATGCGTATTAAAAAATATTTACATTAATCTTGTTTCAGTTTTATTAATAGATACTAATAAAAATTGTCAATTAAAAAGGCAAAACGTTGCGGATTTGTGATGTCTTCTCTCTCCATTTTTCATGTTTCGTCGTTTAGTGCTACCAAGCAAAATGGCGACCGGATGAAGCGATCAGCTGTCATTTAGCAGAGAATTAGACGGCAGTGTTTGCAATCTTATTTTTTATTTTATAGAGATTCAGATTAATTTGTTTTGTTGATTATTTAATAAAAGGTTGAATTATAGAAATAAAATATATTTAACACATTTTAGATTATAATATTGAAAGTTTGGTTATAAGCGGTGATAGTTGAAAGCACATTTGTTATTAAAATAAACCCGGATTCTCATGCATCAAGGTATAGTACTGTACCGTTAAAAAATACCGTATCGTTTCAAAAATATCGGTATGGTATCATACCGTTTCATCCTTAACGGTATCCAACCCTAACACCATGAGACATGACCAAAGTTCAAACCTTATAAACTAAATATCAGACCAAATTGTACATATACCCTTTTGAGCTTTCAAACAAGCAACTTAAAACACTAAACAGAAATTTGTGTCAATCTTCAAAAGAAGATAGCAAAATGAGGTGAAATAAAATAATGTAACCTCATAGTTCATACTTTTTAACACCATGATTACACACATATTTTCTTTTCATTAGAGATACACATACTGAGATAGTTTTCTATTTCCACAGAAATAGCTAGATTGCAAAGTACACTCTTCAAGTAAAAATAGAAGGCAATACTCACCCTGACACGAAAATAAATATCCCATACAATATATATTAGAATATGTCTCCGTACTATGACAGAACTCACCATGTCTACGGTGTGGCGTCCTATGATCACTGTCTCTGCGGATTCGATTTGTAACGTTACTACTACCACTGTGATCAATAACAGTACCAGATTCCTTGTAGTGTCTGTCCTTACTGGAGGTTTTGTTGGAGCGGCTCTCAAGCTGAGCTTGCCGCTGACTGTCCTGGAACTTCTGAATGAGATAATGTTTATCTGGTTTCTCATTATGTAAGCTAGGGTTAAACTCCAGACTGCCCTGGCGTTTCGTGGATCGATCCCCTCCCGAACTTCCCCTGTTGCTGTTGTATTTGTTCTTTCCCATGGAATCTAAAAACAAATTGAAAATAAGACATTTAGGCTTAAAATTCACAGGCTTTTAGAATATTTGCTGAAGATTAAACATGATCAAGCCTTGGTACCAAATGCATGCATTCCTGAAATTCAGACACTGTCCATGGTTAAATTCAATTACAATACACTGTAATAACAGAAAATAAAACATAAGATACAAGGCCAAAATAAAAAATACCTTTGTTTCCCCTAACGCGACCGCCTCAACTAAATCGCACCGACTGAAAAGATTTTTTGAATATGATAATTTCATAATTTTTTTTATTGTTAACCAAGTTTTATAAAATACAATTTCATCAAAATCAGTTTTTATCAAACCGGTCGACATTGTTTTACTGTGATTTTCAAGCATTTGTTGGAAACAAAATGACGCCCAGATGTGATTACAGGGCATAAGCATTAGCTCTTTATAAAACAATGGCGACGTCTCAATCTTATGCTTTTAGCAGGAATTGGAATTGGAATTCTTCACTCTTGAAACAATTCGGTAACAAAATTACCATGACTAATTATCGGAGTGTTTCGGAGGTGTCTTGGCGTCTACATAGGAGTGAATAAATTTTCGAAAAGGACGTTAAACAACAAGCAAATAAACCTGTATTTGAATTTAAGGTACGTAATACAGGGTAAGGCCCGCCTCATGAGTAGATGAGGGGCCCATCTATGAACACATCATTCAATTTCACTGCATTTTATTTAATTTGAGTTTTGATCTAATAACCAATTCATCTATGTTCCTATGTTTACTACAGTGTATGCCATTATGAAACCATAGGAGTTGTTGTAAATATGTTTGCATATTCATCCTGATTAATATAATTCAGATGTCCTTTCTTTACTTTTCTTCATGCCTTTATTTAGTGGTTAAACTTCGTGACTATGACATTGTATATAGCATTTTTCTCATTTGAAGATTCGGTTTGGTTTAATTAAATATTGTTAACATACTCTTTCCAAATAGTTTTGAAATCATGATTCAGCTTCCTGAGACGTTCAGTGTATTTTTCTTTAATTAGGCCCTTGAAGATTGGTTGTTTCTTTGCTTTTAATCCCTTCAAGATTTGTTTTGATGACATTTCCCATTGCTCCAAATTTAGACGTACTCAGCACTTTTTTGCCATTAAGCAGTGGGGGATCTTTTTTTGAGCCAGCATCTTCTGCGACACTGGACATAAGTTTTTATGGTCCCCTTTGAAGGACCGTTTACAATGTTACTCATAGGGATTTGAACCTGCGATTTAAAATTAGCCATTTACTTCTTAACTCCAAAGCAAAATGCTTCAGAACCACTGCAAATCTCATGGCCCTCAAAAAAGTACATTGATCGTCTATAAGCTCTGAAGGCTGATGGAAGGTTTGAAAAAAAAATACTCGTATGTCTAGTCTTTGCGTATTTGAGAATCTTGTTTATTTTATTCAATTTATATTAATGTAATGGCGTGAGATATTTCACAAGTTCAACTAAACAACAGTTGTAAATTAATCATGAATTTTGTTTTTAAACGGCATATATACGATACTTAGCATTTTGTTCACAAATCGCTTTCTTTTGTACTTTTCTTATTTACAAAGGTTATTTTCCATTAAATTTTAGAATGTATTTTCAAAGCTGCTGTCAGAAAATAAAATTGTTTTACCTACCTACCGACCCAACTTGAGAATTTAGGGTCGGGTTAGGGGAAACAAAGATATTTTTAATTCCGGCCCAAAAAACTTTTAAAATCTAAATGCTTTTAAACTTAATATTCCTTTCTCATGTTTAATGAATTGTTTTTAATTTATACTCTAATATTAAAGCAAAGAATTACTGGTGTCAGAAATCAGAGTACCTTTGTCATGGTGTCCTCTGCTTCCTTTGTCACTTTTAGATACTTTCCTGTAATAAGAATAAAACAATCTTAATGATGTAAATGTGCTAACTGCCTCACTCAAACTTTCCATATTGTACACTTCAAAATCTTACAAAAGTTACTTAACATCCATTTGTTAAACTTTTTTGAATTTTCTCAGTAACTTACGAGTCATTCCAGTCGTCGGGTTTCTCCCACTGTGACACCCCTGTCCTGGTGTTGTAATAATACTGTTTCCCAGAGGAACTGATATGTTCTGACCAATCCCCACAGGTCCGCAATGCTGGCTTCTGAAACTAACAGAACAATCAGTTACATCTTAAAGTGAGTAAATTATAATAGCATAAATAACAGTCGAAACGAGAGAGTTTTTAAAAGTTTCTTGATGCATTTCTTTTTTTAATCTTAGAAACTCAACTTAAAATTTTATTATTATTACTAAATATTTGAAAAATATATGAAATATGGATAAATTTCCATTTCTCGCATTCAAAACTGATACCTTTAGAACAATTGTTGACTTTTGTAGTGTGGTATGTAGTGTTGACTCATTCTATCAAACAACTTTTGAAGTCTCATTGTAATTGTTTTAAAAACATTTTTACAAAATGCAGTAAATTTTTATAAAATTTCCTATGAAAGTATGGTTGAGATTTGAGCATGGAGTTGTATGATTGAAGAATCCTTTAATTTAATGAAGAATTGCATACAATGAACTAAGAGTAAAATCAAGAATTGGCTATTTTAGGTCATAGGAAAAGTCAAGGTTTGAAAATTATGATACAGAATTGCTCACCAATATGTATTTTGTATGAAGTTTGAATAAATATATTGAAATAATGAAGTTGAAGGTCAAAAAAAAGGTAAAGGTCATTCACTTAAAACAAAGTTGAACTGCTCTAGCTCCAGTTTGTACCACCTCAAGAAGGTTGTTAAAAATAACTTGAACATTTTCTTTGAAAATAGGCTAAAACCAAAATGAAGTATAGTGTTGTCCATGTAGCAAAGCAAAGTCAGAGAATTTTGACACAGTTGAACAGCTTTTAACAGTAGGTATTAAGTGTATTAAGTTTAATAAAAATATCTTGAACGGCTTCTTGAAACAGATAAAGTACAAAATGAGCAATTGTGAAGTCAAGGTCATAGGGAAGATAAAGGTCAGAATTTTTTCTTATAAAGTTGAATAGCTTTCACTAATACGTATCATCATATGACATTTAATTAAAATATCTCAAACAATTTCTTGAACTTCAACAAATCAAACAGTGAATAATATGGAGGTCAAGGTCATAAGGAATACTTGATATCTGAGACTGACCTCTTGTTTGTGGTCTCTGTGGTTGGCCCTGGTCTTGTCATAACTGCCGTTCTGACTCCCTCCCCCATGTGATGAAGATGCTGTTGAAGCATGGTTGATCTTCTTGTCAGGAGAACTGTAAGCTCCTAAATATGATGTAACATGAACGATTTAAGATTAGTTCTTCATTTTTGGAGAACAAGGCAATTGTTCAATAGTTCGGTGAATTTTTAGTGTTTTTAGAATACCCTGTGTACATGCATGTAGTATATACATTTTTCTGCATGACATAACTTCTGCTTTTATTTAGTACAGTTGAACTATACACTTTCAAGTATATTATATATACATGTATATTTCAAATAACATGAATATTTCAAGTAATTTGATAGTTTTCCTTTTTTTTAGCTACTTTAATAACCACTTTTTCTTTAGTTTATAGCAACAACAAATATTTTAAACACCAATCAAAAACAAATGTAAACATTTGGCCTCAATATTTCAATAATTGGCAAGTTAAAACACAAGTTTACCTTGCTCATAGTAAATAAACATTCATAATTCTATTTTTTCATTAAAATTGCTAGGTTCACTTTCCCCATAAAATGGTCCTACCCATATACCAATTAACTAACTAAGTCTCAATGTCCCATTTCAAACATCAATATCAAGTAAACACTTAAAGCACTCCTATAAGATTCCAGGTATTGAAAAGCAGGGTTTGCCAAGTTGCAATGTTCTTGAACTTTGTAGAAAATGAGTGTATTTCAGTACATTCAGAAATGAATAAAAATATGAGCCCACCCCTAAATCCAAAAATCAAAACATGGTTTATAATCTCAGGGTCCGACACTCGTCAAAATTTGGTCTCGCCATTTGGGCAACCTTGGTATGATCACAGGTTGCCCGAATGAATTTCAGGTCGTCCAAATAAAATATCAAATGAAACAAAACTCAATGTGCAATTGTTTAAAATTTGTTAAGATAATTAACAGAAGTTGTGTTTTTTCAATTTTGTGTTAAAAAATGTAAACCAGACATTTTTGGAATGTCAAGATGTCTCCCAGTATTTTATCAAACAAAAATATGAGCAGAATGATGATTGAATCAGACATGCAGAATGCTAAAGTTTGTAGTTTAAAACTTTCCTTTTCACTTACCATGAATCCCTACATAAATGGGTTCAAATAACCCTGGACTCAATTAACCAGGTGTGATTTACAGTGGACACCCAACATGGCTGTCTAGCAGCAGAAAACGATCATCAGGTGATCAGAAAGTTGTAGGGGGAAATGCAAGATGTTACAATGATGATAATTACTCTTTATATTTAAGGTGATTGTTGACTAAGTTGAGATATTTTATATCTCAAATAAAACTTTAATAAAGACTTTTGGTAAAAATTGCATCAGCTGATTGATCGAACACAGATTTGGCAGGAAGAAAATTCTATGCGGCTGCAACTTAAACATGTTGAAAGGGTTGGTTTTGTTATAGGAAAATATGTTTTCAAAGCCTTATGAAGTTTATTTTAAAATATTAAAGATCATTATTAAATATTCCCAACTTGTCCCAGGTCGTCATTTGGGCGAGCCAGACTAAAAATCAGGTCGTCCGAAATCATTTCTGGATGGAAATGACGAGGTGACGAGCGCGAATGTCGAACCCTGTAATCTTTTGATACAGTTCTTTCATTAAAGAATTGAACATTTTGGATCGGACTCAGACAGTCAGAGGTTGGGGTCTATACAAAATATTGTAAAACCACTTAAAGTGTTGGCCTCTTTTGGAGAAATGTTTAGTGTTTGAGGATAATGATGCTATTAATGATGTCATTATATATGGACAAGCTATTGGGCTCACAATATGTCTACATTGGTCAGCTGGGGGAAATAAATCCATTATTCTCTTATGTCATTAAATTCTGCATTGTCAGTTTGAAGGAAAATGTATTTGAATTAGTTTTCCTCTTTTGCACATTTTATGTGACATTTTGTTTAATGATTACATTACACACAGTGTATGCAGTAAAAGGAAATGTGGATCACTTCATTAGCCCCCCCCAAACTTAACATACAGTTGAACTTGGGTATCTTGAACACAGATATCTTGAATATCATGGGTATGTCAAAGTGAAGTGATTTGGAAGTCCCAAACCATAATTCTTCAAGTATTTTACCCTCAATATATCGAATCATCGGATATCTCTTAAGTTTTTCCTCAGTTCCATCAAGTTCAAGATAACAAGTTTTGACTTAACATCATTATAGACTATTTCAGATTCTTTATTATGTTATATATATGTCATATATATGTTGATATTTCATACAGATGCGCTGTATAGCCTAAGGTTTACTAACTGAATAAACTATACATATGTATTCGAAATATAACCAATTTCAGAATACTGATTTAAACATTTCCTTCTGAACATTTTAGACATAGCCCTATTTTCTCCTTACCAGGATGTACATCAACATCCATAACATACAACATTTAAAATCTCTTGGGTGAAGAAAGTCCCAGATATAAAGTGAATGAGTAGATGCTTCAATCAAACTAATAGCGCTGAACCTATAACCCAATTTTGAATTATTTTTCCCCGAGACACAAACAACAAATATACTTGTTTTAATAGACCTGTCTACATGAAAATGAGAGTATAAAAAACTGACCTCTTTCCAGTCTGCCCTTATCTTTCTCACTATAAGGCTTTTTGTGGATATATCTGGGACTATTACGGCTTGCGGAACTGTCATCCCTGGAACGTCCATCTTCCCTCTTGGAATAACGATCATTGTATGCCTTTGATGGGTACTTATTAGACTGAAAACAAAAAAATGCTTGTGTCAACTACATTCAATGCCGAATTCCTTCACAATTTTACAGGCATAATCCAATTTTTGTTGGTTGATGTGTTTAAATTAAACATTTCCACAATAAGCAAATCAAACAGTAATGTTCCTCTATTCCTTATATTCAGGTTTTTATTTACTTGAAAATTTTCTTCAAGGTATATCTTTTCTAGTTTATTCTTATCTTTATAAATAAATATATATACATATAGGTTAGCTCTTGTTTATAAGCCACTTTTTCCCCAAAACAAAGAAAGGCATGGTAGAAAATGAATAGAATAAAATTTAATATTACATAAATGTATATCAAAGCAATTAGTTTTGTCATTAATACTTTAACACAAGTTTTAAGCCAAAAGTTCCTTCAAATCCTACCAAAAAATTTAAAATATTTTCAATAACATTGTAGTTTTAAAAAGTCCCAAGATTTTGCAAGAGGTTCATTCATGAAACATGAGGAAAATCAGTACTGATTGCATTCTACATTTCTTCATATAAATTGATACCCCAAAACTATGTACACAATTACTTATCTGTGAGTAAGTTTCAAAATAGTATAATATTTTTTTAATGCATTACATTTCTTTAATATTATTAGAGATGCAATATTAATCCCCATCTTTCCATTTTCTTCTCATAAGTTTACATAAAGGTAACTCAAACAACTGCAAGACCAATTCAAAATATTCTTCACATAAAATCTTATCACCTTTGCGATAGAAGTAAAATGCATTTAATTTCTAGTTAAAATCAAATACCTGATTTGAGTTGTATATTAGTACTTAGCATCTGTACCTTACTGCGTAGTTGGTTTACAATAACTGTCACTAAATATAGTTTTATTTTACAGTGGTATCCACACTGGTATTGAATCCTCTTTGCACACTTATACTTTGATATTGCTTTTAAAATATTTTTTATGAAAAACTACAAATTACAAAATTGAATTCCCAAAAGTTAAAAAAGAATCTGATCCCTTCCCATTTCATCTCCATTTTAAGAATTGCTATTTGTGTAACTGTCAATAAAATTGATCCTGACAATCTTGAGAAGCAGATTTTGTCAAATTTGTTGTAACTGTGAATCTAATAAAAATGAATTATTATAAACATCAGTGTTTCAGATTACATATGTAGTAATATTTTGTTATCTTCTCAAAATATTTACTCTTTCTAATCAAATGTTCCTGAGAAAATAAAATGACTTTATATAATATCAGAAAAAGTTAGACCATTAAAATGCTTAAATTCCACATTTTAACAAATCAACAGAGAGATTAAGGTATCCGTAAAAGGTACTGTACAATTACCAGTATGGCATCATATAGTTTAATCCTTTGTGGTATCCAACCACTTATATTTTTGTCTGTTTGTATGTTGTTCAATATCCCTCTAAACATTTTTTACTTATGTGGACACCAATTGTCGTTAGAGAGCTGCAAATTTTGTCCAATACTCAACACTTACAACCCTTGAGCAGTGAGGGATCTCTTTCGTGCCAGTACCTACTGTGACATGGGACTTCAGTTAATATGGTCTCACCTGAAGGACTGGTTTCCACGTCCCACAGTGGGATTTGAAACCGTGACGTAAGGATCAACTCCTTATTAGCGATCGGTTTCTGCGTCCCACAGTGGGATTCCAAACCGTGACGTAAGGATCAACTCCTTACTTTGCAACTCTCAAACAGACACTTACACTAAGCCATGCAGGCGAAGCCATGGAGGTTAACCCCCTTTCCATTTCTAATCACTACACCAATTTATTTCAAGAAAAGTGTGTTAAAGAATCAATTTTTTTTGCCATAAACCTTCTCCAATGTATCAAATAAACATTTCTTTTTCTTTTTTTCACTACAATCTCCCCCATTAAAGACTGTTCCCCTACATGGCACTTGAAGTGTCATCCTGTACTCTTCCCACCTAAAAATTTTATGTTTATAGCTGGATTCAGCTCAGCAGTAACTCATTATTGGACAACCACCAGTGTTGTTAGTCTTTTCCACTCTTTTTCTGTCTCATTAGCTCAGAATCTTGCAAAACTTGACCATAGACTTCATATTGGAAGTACAGCAATATTACCTGGTATAGATGGGGGTCTCTTTTGTCCATATACCTACAATATACAAAAAATCTTTAATGCCCTTGTTTTTTCTATTCCTGAAACTGCAAATTCTTATAAAATCAGCCTCAACTTTATTCAAAATGACAACAAAAATGGCGGATTTGCTGTCATGAACTGTAATGCAGCAATGTAGTGAAATCTTTACCCATCATCGAGTCTAGGTTGTTTCCTTGCATGCATTACCATTAATGCATCAAGAAATTAAGTGCTTTAGCGCACAATATTCATAAATTACGGGTTTTCTGTGTTTATTTGGACAGTGGATCACTTCTGTGTAACCTGTTGAAGTTACGCCATGACACATCCGGGCTTTTGATTAAAAATAGAATTTTAGATTTCCTCTGAACTTTTTCAGCAAAAAATGTTCTATGAGTAAATTTCCACTCGAGATGGATGAAAATAAATAAATTTCAATTAATATCTTTTAACTTTCGTAATAAGTTAGTTGACATTGACTTGTATATATATCGGGTGATTCCGTATATTCACGGAATCACCCGATAATGCGATATGTGGAAAAGCGCCATCTATTCAATGAAAAATCGGATATCAAACTTTTAGAAAAAACACAATATTCCCAAATTACGATACTCCAGGTAAGTTGTAAATGTCTAATTTTGTATGTTGATGAAAACTGATGATTTTAGACCAACTGAATATTAGCTATTTCGAGTTTGATGCAGTGTTTTCATTTGCAAAATTCAAAAATTAAATAAAATAATTTTTTTCAGGTTTCATGCAGTGCTTTATTACTTGAAACAATAAAAAATAAGTCATAGTTAAATTACATCAAATTAAATCAGAGACATTCCTGATTAAATAAAATTAATATTTAAAGAAAATAAATGAGAAATTTTAAATTAAAAATCACATGTAAATTACCCAGATCCTAAATTGTTTATGTAGATATACAGGAAACTGAATAATTCATACATATCGTCATTTTTCATGGTTTCAAATATATTTTTGATCAGATTGTGAAAGGGTATATACACCCCCCCCCTTTCCATACTACATATTTTGTATTCAAGGGAAGTAACTCATATCCGTTTATTTGTCAAGATGGCGGTGTCAAGTGAACTCAAACTGGACGAATTTCACGAAAGCATTGGAGTAAAAAATTGTAAGTAGTTACACTAAAAAAGACATTTGATATACGTTGTTGGCATATTTAATTCAGTTTCCATGGAAAGACTCGGTTGATTGAAGTATAAAACGAGTTTAGGATCATATGATTTTGTCAAGATTGTGAAAGTCTAAAACCGGTCCGGCTTCATCTTTTGATTATGCTATAGCTTTTAGGGGAACGCCGCCAATATTTGTTGTCACTCACTTCAGTATAGATACATTTAATGATATTTTATCCCATGTCAAAATTCAAGATGATATTTAGAAAAAAAAATTCTGAAAAAAACCCGAAAACTAAGTCTTGTTTCCTGAGCTACCAGCCTGAAAAAAATAGGGTAGGTAGGTAGGAAAATTATTTTATTTTTTTTTTTATTTTATTTTATTTTTTCCAGTAGTATTTTTTTGGATATGAACTTATACAAAACCAAATAAAACATGTCATAGGTCAACATTGTATTTTAAAATTAGATATTATCACATCTTTACATACAGTTTCATGAAATACCACCTGATTATGTTTTTTTCTTCACTTTTTGAACATGAAATTCCTGAAATTCCCAATTTTTGTGTAGAATTATGTGACGAGAATTTTTTTGTTCTAAATATCATCTTGAATTTTGACATGGGATAAAATATCATTATATGTATAGATACTGGAGCATTGTGACATTGATAATATCTGATATCAGCATTAGTTCAGTCGGCAAGTATCAAAAATCAACTCCTGTTGGAGATGGTGAAATTTCCAGTTTTCGTAATTGCGCCGGTTCTGACGTTTTCCTGGCACATAAAATATCAAAATCTTTAAAAAAAGCCAGGAAAAAGTAAGATATTTGGGACTACCTTGTGTGGTATTATGGTATAGGGATATCTAGTACTTAACCTTTTTACTGAAATTATGAAAACTGTGGTCCCTGGTATAATCATGCAAGAGTTGGGTATTGTTCAATGGTCATAGTAGTAGAAAAAAAATATAAAACATCTCTGAAAATAATTATGCTTCCCATGGACATTTACCAGACAAACTATCTCAATGATTTTAATAAACACTAAGTTCTTTGCAAAAACTGTGAAGTTCAGAACATTCTGGACCCAAACCTGCATGTAGTTCAAGCTCCAGTGTGTTGTCAAGTTAGTCATATGAATTAAAAATATATTTCTGTTACCTTTTTGAAGTCTTGTCTTTCTGAGTCATGATATTAGTCAACAAACTGTTTGCCTAATAATGAATAACACTATGCCCCCTAACAAAAATTATGGCCCCTGACCCATTGTGAGTAGATGGGTTCTAATGTCATTCTCCAAATGATTCATTCTGGATATTTGTGACGTCATCATTGAAGTTAATTAAAGTGATGAAAATTGCTTTTTTAAAAATTAAAAAAAAATTTTTTTAATATATTTCATTTTTGTTGATGGCAAATACATTTTTACTTCTTGTAATAAAAGGTCAATTCAACACATTTATGATTTTTGTCATACATATATTTTAGACTCCAATTATCAGAAATATTATATGCAGCATCCTATTTAAATTTCACTTATTTTTAATAGTAATGCAAGCTAAAAAATTTTGAAATTGTTTTATATGTCAATAAAAGTCTCTTAAATCTATAATACAAATGAAATTGACTTTTCATTTTTATTGAGTAGAGACATGACAGTGTATACTCAATTGTCAGTATTTTTTGAAAATTATTGGTAAAGTACTTATTTTAAAAATAATGAAGGAAATTTAAAAAAAAATTAATTTTTAAAGCATTCGATATATTAAGTCAAATATTTTGACGTGTAGATTTGAATAAAATTTTCCTCTGGCTTATTTATAAACAGAGGCTGTTGCAGCAGAAAATTGATCCTTTGAAAGCATAAAATAGAATCCTCCTATAAATTTACACATTAGTGAATTTGCTCAGGTAAATATCAACATTGGGTCTTTTGTCTTTATTTACTGTATATAGTTATATTTAAACATGAAAGATTTACTTTTCGACTGGTAGGTTCTTGGGCTATTTTGTAAAGATTTGTTACAATTATACAGTCTAAGACCCAGAGATGATAATCTTGTGTACTCTTTCTTGTGAGAATATTAAAATTTATTGACTAGTATTGGAAAACTTAATATTGACTTCATAGTCATCAGTTTAATCAATGAAAGCTTTGAAAGTATTGTATGTATGTTGTAATTTTGTAAAGTTAATCAGGAATAATGACTTTTCATAATCAGTTGGCATTCTGTTATAAGAGGTATCTTAGCTTCTTAGATTTGTGCATTATTTCACAGATGACCCATCCTTTAACAATTTTACTGAATAATGCTGTCTTTGAATCTGGCATATTATTGAACTATCATGAAAACAGAATTGAAAAATAATTTCAGAAGTATGATAAACTGTTCTTGGAAAGGGCATTGTGATTCTTAATACTTTGTAAGATGACAAGTCATAATCAAATGAGTTCGCAAAATAGATCTTGAAAAAAAAACATCATTGTTTATAGTCCATTATCATATATTAATTCTTACTCATAAGTCATATTTTTAGGTTATTTTGAAGTATTTGCCATTTTAGTATTTAGACTGTAAGTAATTACACATTTATGTACATTTTTTTTGGCCAGAATCATTCAAATCAATGCTCTTATATTTAACCTTTGTTTCTAAAAATTATTTGGGAAATTGATGCAGCTATTTTTTTTATGGAAAAACATTTAGTCAATATATTGAAGTAAATGTTTCTAATGTCAGCACACATCATCAAGGGAGATAACTGATGTGTAAATGACCTTATAATGGGGCAACATTCATTTAAGTCAGTCTGCTTGTAGAATTGGATGTAAAAGCCTTCAGTAAATATTTCATTACTAAATGTTGGCATCTCCAATACTAGTGTGACAGGCCTGGATGTATCGATGTAGAACTCTTTTGGATAAGGAGAATTATAACCATTGGGACTGCAAGCAATTACTTCTTTTTTGGAAAAAAAACCTTATTTGTGAGCTAGCTAATACAACATTTACATGATGGATACTTGTATAGAAAGACTGTGCTAAAGATAAAACTGTTCAGATCCCATATATATCTGAAGTGTGAAGAAAGATTGATTTTGAAAATTAAATAAAATGTAATATGGCTTTTCTCACCTAATTCAAGAGAACCCAGCTGACAGGGTTTTGGAGTTGCCAAAGTTATTTAATGCAGGGGATGTTATAGGAAATGAAATGAAGTTCATTTGAAATGTTAGATGGTAAAACATGAATTAGATTTCTATTCTGTATTTATTTGACAGTAGCTAGAATTGAATACATACATGGCACTGATATTATATTGCTAAATTAAAAAGTTTATTAATCTTATTGCAGATGAATATTCTGTGCTTGAATTCTAATAGAAATGCCAGGTGAAGATAATCTTGCTTTGATAACCTTTCATGAAATGTATGAGAAATGAAAAACATTTTATTTTCTTGTGGTGATCTTTCTAACATTTTAGTAAGACTATATACACAGTATACAATGTGTTTTTCCTGTAGATTTTCCTGTATTATACATCTAAAACTTTTTGATGGATGAGTTGTTGGTAAATAATACTGTTGTTGATAGATAAGACATTTTATTTTTTACATTAGTGAGATCACTTACAGATTTCTGGTCTGTTTTTCAGAGTGAAGAAATAGAACAGAAGTTTTAAGATGTCTACCAATATCTCACCAGTGAAAAGTTTACCACTGCTCAATCATTCACCAGGAGTATCTCGCAAAGTCTCACAGAACAGCTCAAAACATCACTTCAGACACAGTGAATCAGAGTCGGATTCAGTAAGTATCTCGAGATAGTCTATCTTCAGAACTTCTCAATTTAATACTCATTACTTTTTAGTCTTTAGAATACATATACGTGTACATTCATTTTTATGATGACTTAGAATTTCTCAAGGTTTTACAGTAATAAGCAGAGGTACTTGATAAAGAAAACTGACAAAAAAGTACTTAGGCCCAAAAAAATTAATCAATAGTTTCTCAGGCCAAAAAAATCAGAATTCAATGTGGCAGGCAGGCTTTTTTTTTTTTTTTTTTTTTTTTTTTTTTTTTTTTTGGAAGCAGGTTTAACACCTTTTCTAAGCCATTTGTTCAATAAAATGAAAATATCTACCAATTCTTAATTTTTAGCTCACCTCAACGAAGTTGGGGGGAGCTTATGTGATACCCTCGGCGTCGGCGTCCCGGGTTAAGGTTAAGTTTTTGGGAGCAGTTTTCTTTTTAAGTACTTCTATGTCCTATATTGATTAGACATGCATGGAGGATGTTTCTAATGTGTTTCATTGTACCAGTCAAAGTTTCAGATGCTGCAATTTCAGCAAAGGAATGACCAGGTTAATGTTTTTGGTGCAGGTTAACATTTTTGGTGCAGTTTTTGGTGTAGGTCTCATTTCCGAGTAACTATAAGCCCTATGTTGACCAAACTTACATGGATGGTACATCTTAGGATGCATACTACCAGACTTGTTTCGGATGCTGAATCTGACCTACATTTTCCGGTTGAGTGAACAGGTTAAAGTTTTTGGTGCAGGTTTCATTTCGAAGATACTATGAGCCCTATAATGACCAAACTTGCATGGATGGTACATCTTAGGATGCATTCTACTAGACTTGCTTCGGATGCTGAATCTGACCTACATTTTCCGGTTGAGTGAACAGGTTAAAGTTTTTGATGCAGGTTTCATTTCCAAGTTTCTATGAGACATATAATGACCAAACTTGCATGGATGGTACATCTTAGGATGCATACTACCAGTCTTGCTTCAGATGCTGAATCTGACCTACATTTTCCGGTTGAGTGAACAGGTTAAAGTTTTTGGTTCAGGTTTCATTTCCAAGTTACTATGAGACATATAATGACCAAACTTGCATGGATTGTACATCTTAGGATGCATATTACAAGACTTGCCTTCGGATGCTGAATCTGACCTACATTTTCCGGTTGAGTGAACAGGTTAAAATTTTTCGTGCATGTTTCATTTCCAAGGTACTATGAACCCTATAATGACTAAACTTGCCTGGATGGTATATCTTAGGATGCATACTACCAGACTTGCTTCGGATGCTGAATCTGACTTACATTTTCTGGATTAGTGAAAAGTTTCAAGTTTTTGGTACAGGATCCATTTCAAGTAACTTTGAGCCCTATAATGACCAAACTTGCATGGATGGTACATCTAAGGGTGCATTCTACTAGGCTGGCTTCAGAGGCTGAATCTGACCTACATTTTCCGGATTAGTGAAAATGTTAGTTTTTTATACAGGTTTCATTTCCAAGTAACTTTGAGCTCTATGTTGAACAAACTTGCATGGATGATACATCTTAGGATGCACACTAAAGGACTTGCTTCAGATGCTGAATTCGAATACATTTTAATTTAAAAGTTATGGGTGCAGGTCTATCACCAAGAAACTGTAAGGCTTATATAAACCAAAGTTGCACAAATGATGCATCAAGGGATGAAAACTCTCAATCTTGCTTCAGATGCTGGATTTTAATTACATTTTCATGATGAAGAACTAGTTTTAAGTTTTTATATAGGTCTATTCCAAAGTATCAAAATTGCATAAATTTTGCATTTTTGGATGTACACTTTTTGTTGGTTAATTGTGTGACTTAATTTGCCTTACTTAAAGACAACATTCGTTGAGGTGAGCTCTGTAATCTCTGATTACCTATGTTTGTTCTCTGAAATTGGTTGTAGTATGTATTCAACTTTAAATAATGTTACTCCAAACATTTATTTAAAAGTTAATTAATATAATATACTGAAAATTTCGAAGAATATATTGTTTTTCTAATAAAAACGTTTATCTTAGCATTTATGAAAAGGGGAATAACTCGATTTTCTTTTTCAACTTGGAAAAATAGAAAATTGAGTTATCTCTCTTTTCAATATGTCAATAAAATTGATCAATGCGGCCGTTTTTGAACTGATGCAGCGGTGCGTGAGAAACTATTGGTTAATTTTTTTTGGCCTTAGAATTACTTTTTTAAATTCAACAGTCCAATTTCTCTGACATCAACTGGTCCTGCACATCATATTTTTTTGGCACCACCCAGTAAAAACAAAAGAAATGTTTTACTTTATTAAAGTATTGAAGGATTAAAATTTGGAAAAATAATTTAAAGTTATACATTTGATTTAGCAATGTTGTTCTTGCAATGTGACTGGTCTTTTTATTTGTAAACAATTTTCTCTTTTTATATCTGCATTAAGAAATTTTATCTTCAAATTCAGAGCAAGTTGTGATATTGATTTTAAGGTCATTTAAGTCATAATGGTTAAGGTCATTAAAAAAAACCCCAAATTATTACATTTTGAAGAATGAAATGGCTGGAGAAAAATCTTTCTTTTCTTTTTACATATTTGAAAGATTATAAAATTACGTTTTCTTATAATTAGCAGCTCTCAAATTGTCCTACATTTTACTTGTTTAATAGTTTAACATCTACATATATCTACAAATATGTTATAATTCTGACGGATCCACAGACATCTTTTTTCTCTCCCTAAAATCAATGGCTGTAGTATATTGAATAAGGAAATATGATGGATGATGCTGCCAGGTAGTTCTCTGATGTCAGCTTGAATTATCGATGATGTTACCTTCATTTTGTCAATATTGTCTGTCCCAAACTGTGTAAATGAAGTACATGAAAAGGTCAAGCTTTTATAAGTCACTAATGTGTGACCTACTATGTTTACAGTCAAATATAGGAAAAAATTAATATAAATAGCTAGATTATTGGAGATATTCTGATTTCTGAAGAAGAAAAACTAGGAAAATAATTTTGTATATATATGGTATGATCTGCATGGCGTACGTGTTATACTGAATTCATCAAGTTGCAAATATGGTGGTGTTTTGAGGAATTGTATTAAAGCAAGCATGACCTACTTGCTATACAAATAATTCATTTCTTTTCAACAAAATCCAATAATTCTATCACATTTCAAGATGGCATGGTTTAAAAATAAAATTTGCCACTAATTGAATTTTTTTCTTTCAAGAAGCCAACTGCAAACAAACTGACAATATGCAGTTTATGCATTTGCAGTGTATTTACATTTATTTTTAAAGCATGACAAAATTTGCACTCATTAGAAGGAAAGGAATATTCCCAAGATTGAAATCGTTACTGAACTGAAACCCCTGACTGCATGCATCTGATTAAATTCCCTTACTTCCTTGATATTAGTGTAAATTTCTGCCCAACTACAATACAAGTACAGTGTCTTGTCTGTTTATATGGTGTAAAAACACACACGCTCACTGCTGGACTACCTATTGACATATGGCGTGTGACTGAACTGGACATAGGGATTAGTCATTGATTAATTGACAGGCTCTAATTAAGCTTCTGACTGTGGAATGCCTGCTAAGGTGTCAGTAGTTTGTAGAGTGCTGGTGTAGGAATGTCATAAATGGTGTTACATGGAAGGAATGAGGAAGGTTAGTTATTGTACATGTAATTACCGTATTCATTAGAAGTTGGAGAATAAAATAGGACATGCTCTGTATTTTACATACATTGTGCCGTGTGCTGTTAGGTGTAAATATCTAGTATCCTCTTTGATTAGAACACATTTCTTGCTCAATATGAATAGATAGATGAAATACATGAACCTGGAGAAAATGACATGGAATCTATCATGCAGTAAAAAGTGTGAGAACTTGATGGATTGTTGTGTGTAAGGAATTATAATGGATCAGTTAAAACACTGAACATGCCTTGTTGTCATTCATTTGAGAAGATTACTTGACAATGTGCATTGTTTATTTATTGGATATGGTTTATTTTATGCAATAAATGTTCCTAAAAATATTAAGTTTAAATTAATTTGGGATTACTAATTATATCTGTTTTAATTGGACAGATTACAATAAAAAAAAAAAACATGATCATGACTGTATGTTTCTTCATTAAGTACCCTGAATCCAATGTAACTTCCAAATTTTTACCTTTATTTTAGGAAAAATATCTTTGTTTTACATCAACCACTATATTTTAAAGACAATATCCTAAATATTCTAGACAATTCTTTTATTGTACTGGTTAACTGACATAATACATTCGTATTTCCCTGTGCCTGAGCACATGGAAGAGGAAATATTGTAAACCTTTGAAATTGAACCCCTTGACTTTACACTTAACATGCATAGCATCCTTTTTAACTTGAGTATTTTACACTCAGCATTTTTGTACATTTTGTGTTCTTAAGATTAGGCATGTATTCCTAAAAATAGACTGTTTCTGTGCTATTTAATGAGAACAACACAACTTCGTCCTGTATTGAATGGTAATGGATTGGAAGTTAGAGGTTCGATCAGTATTAGCAAGAGAAAATTTTAATAAGTTTAAAGTTATTTTAGTCATTTGAAAAAAGGAAATAGAAAATTGTTCTTGTTTGTTTGTAGGATGGGTCGGATGAAATTTCAGTCTCAAGCTCCCAGGTGGAGAACAGTAGAACTTCAGCCCCCCTCAGGCAGAACAGTTCACATAAATCCACCGCCTCCAGTAAAAAGGCACGTAAAGCTCGGAAGCCCCGCCGCACTGACTGGGAGATTCTGGAGGGACTGAAAGATGGGGTGAGGTGTGAGAAGAAGCCAGATAAGTTCAGTGGTTTTCTGATGAAGCGGCGCAGGTGGCCACTCAAGGGATGGCATAAGGTAGGATTTATATATATAACAGTACATTTAATTAGTTTAAAGCTCATTGTATTTGTTGTCATCAAAAATATTCTATAATGTACAAGTCATTTCCTCCTCTTACTCTATATTACATGTATTTACAGGATAAACAGGATCTTCTCTTTAACTTATTGTGTTATATCACTATTCTTTTGTATTTTCTGGAAAGAGGATATGTTGTTGTGCTTTGTGTAATCCTAAATTTAAAAAATGTGTATGTGTAGTAAGAAACTTCAAAATGCAGTCACACCCTATCTGATTTGCATTGTTCATTTGTAAATTTGCACAGCAAAAACTTTTATTTGATTGCTGTTAAATCAGAATGTACTGCTAGGAATATTACTGTTTAAAATTTATTATATTAAAAAAGAATTTTTAAAAATGCTATTTTGACCAAGCTTGTAAAAGTTTTGCATATATGGATGCATATTTCTGAGAATACAAAATTAAATTTAGATCTTCATTTTGCAGTTGACATATCATGCAAGTTAAAATTTCTTAAGCAGGTCCATTCTTAAGTACATGTAGTTATCTATAGTTCACCACTTTGCATTTATCTTGCATCCAGGGATACATTTGACCATTTATTTTTTGGATGATGCAGATGTTATATTTTGTACAAACAAAGGGACTATTCAAAATTCCGTGTGCACTTCTTTTCTTCACAAGTTATTAAGCTAGACAATTAAGTATTACATAATCTGAAATATGCACTATGTATGGAATTTGGCCTATTGTTCATATAGACATATTTTTGAAAGGAGATCCCCTCCAATGATGTGGATAAAGCTTTTTAAGCATTTCTATTCTTAATTCATTAGAAATGAAACCCATACACCCATCCCTAATATCAAAACTGGATAATAGGTACATATCTAACCAGTCTTTTCTCCAGTTACTTCTAAAGATTATATACTATTGAATAATTTTTTATGCATTTACCTATTCTATGATTTAAGGTATACCTTTACTCAGATGACTAAAAATTCCACTGATAAGAATGAAAAACCACCTATTGCACATTGTACACCTATGATTCTTGTGTTAAATTTCAATTTCAAATAACTAGGTCAATGACCTCGTTTTCATGCAAGGGGCCCCTGAATATTTCTCGGGAATTACCTCAATTTTTCACACTATGACCATATTTTTCTTCACTTACAAAATATTACAAGAAATAAAACTCTTTAAATAATGAAATATTATAGCAGTGGAACAAAGTTGCGCCTTATAAGGAAATGAGTAGAGTTTGGGCCATACATGTGATAATTATTACAGTCCGAATTTCCTCTGTCATATTTCTGTTTTTTTCACTATTTTTAATCAAATATTGCAAAAATCTGACTGATAAGAACTCTAAATTATTTATAGCCTCAGGTTACTTTTGTTACCCTTACTTTCAAGGTATTAATATTATATGGGGTCAATGATCAAATTATTGAAATATGTTGACTGCAGTGGTTTTTGTACATGTTTTTGAATTTCTTTATTTCATAGCATTTACTTATTTGAAATAATTTATGAGCTTAAACACAAAAAAAATTTGCAAAATGATGTCTTAAAATACATGTAACCTTTTCTTTGTGATAAATATTGCAAGAAATAAAAATTTTGACAAAAATGAGAAATTAAGTATTTAATCCGAATTTCCTCTGCATAGCCATACATTGAGTTTTGTTCCTATACATTTTCTTCAAATACTTACATATTAAATTTTTAAATTGATATTGAGATAAAACTTAGTTATTTTATCCATTTTGAACAATTTTGATTTAATATATTATACTTTATAAAATTTTCTCTCTGATTTCTGAAACCTGAGTAAACGTCATCCTTAAGACAAAAATTCCTCACATGCACTGATTTACATTATTATTGTGATTTTACAGAGATTTTTCTTGGTTGAGAAAGGAATAGTATACTATGCCAAGTCCCCAGCTGATGTAAGTCTAGAAATAGTATATATACTATGATGCAAAAGTGCTTGTCTGTTTCCTTTACAGTATAAAAATACATGTTATAGAAAACACATTTTAAAATGAAGGCGTGATTTTAAATTGGTCCTATATTATATTTAAATAAGTTTATTGAACCTCTTGTTAAACATTAAATCTTTTTAACATCTAATGAAGATTTACAGTAGAGCAGAGACTACTGAGCTGTAATGCTTGTTTTAGATACAGAAGGGAAAATATCATGGAGTTATTGACACAGGCCTGGCTGTGGTCTCGTACAAAAAGCCTCGGCGGATTGATATTGATGCTGAAGATATTGTCTATCATCTCAAAGTAAGACAGCTGGCATTATTATTTGCAAACATGAAGTTATTCACATAAATCAACTAGGGTCTGAAATGAAGGAAGAACATGTACTGGTATCTTCCTGTCTGGTTCACTGATCTGTGTGTCATTGACATGCATATTTTAGTACTTCAGTTTAAAAGAATTGGAGAATTGTGCATTAATTGATTTTGTGAATTAAAGTATTTGTTAAAAAGGCTAGTACATCTTAACCTTTATATTTTCATACTTGATGGGGTCAAGGAAAAAAAGTATGTGGTACATGTGCATGTATCAGAGGATTCAAGTATATATAACAGTAAAGTGAAGGATGAACAATTTTGCTTCCTAATATAAATATAATTGATCATATCTATTATATGATAAAAAAAGTCTTACTAGACAATGTGGAATGAAAATTACCGAGAAATTAGCATGTTAGCTAAATAAAAATTTGGACTTCTAACTCACTTGATATATTCCTGGTACTTGAGCTATCCATCTTTGAGATACCAAAGTTCGACTGTAATTAGGGAAGAACATCTCATGATGTATAAATTTTGCTTTTATATCAGTATTCAATATATTTAACACAGATGAAGGACAAGAAGATGTTTGATGAATGGCTGAACGTGTTCAGACATCACAGGTTGTACCGCCAGCACGAGATCGCATATGGTACCAACGAGTCACCAAAATTAACAGGCATAACCTCCCCAGTTGAGGATCTGACCAGTCCATTTTCTCCAGGTATGGTAAATCAACTTTCAAATTCATATGCATGATATGTCAGCCAGTTCCAGGACCTTCTTTTACTCCCAAATGTTTCAAAGCAAACCAAAAATTAAATGCTGAATCAGTCAGAAATCATAATATTCACGGACGCATTTTTTTGCTGATTAATTGATAAAAAGATAATTTGTTTACATTGTATCAAACAATAATTAAATATGCCCTTTTACAGATTATTATGTGAATAACGGTTGTTTCTCCATTTATCGCGATGCACAGTTCTTGACGGTAGTAATTACTCTTGCTTTGGCTTTTGTGTCCACACAAAGATTGCCCATAACCCAAAATACAAAGGTCATTTAATAAGGTCACTGGAAGAAAAAGTTCATAATTTTCGGTCTTTTCTTATGGATAAACTTGGTAGGTTCTCATTTCACACAAAAATTGCCCATAACCCAAGGGTGTGCCATGATTAGGTTTTTAAAACAAAATCTTGGTAGGTTTTCATTTCACACAAAGATTGCCATGACCTTCCAAGGATATTTGGGGAATTTCAAGGTTGAAGAAAAATTTCATAATTCATGGAAAAAAGAAAAAAAAATCCCTTTTGGACAGTTCTAGTTACTCTTGCTTTGGCTTTTGTGTGGTAGAGCAGATTCATTAGTTTTTAAAACAAAATGTTTCTTAAGGCATATTCCTTTGAAGATATAAAAGAAAAAAACCAATAATTATGTGGTATCCAACCTTACATCATTATTGAAGAAAATCTAAAAAAAATTCTGCTCCCAATTTTATCCATTCCAAAAAACAATTTTCTTCAAAATCCAATAAATTGAGAAAGTTATATTGGCTTTGTCTCATCAGTAGGTATAGGTTTGCCCGAGGCCCTGAAGAGAGAGACCCAGCTAATGGGCTCCAATGACATGATCCCCGTAATGAGAAAATCCAGCTTTAAGAGCCAGAGCTCCTCCCAAGGACGTGTGGCAACATGGCTGCTGGACACAGCAGGGTTTGAGCACTGTAATAAAGGTACGTAAATAGAAGACTTTATTGATGGTGTCACTTGATGCAATGATGGTGCCACTTGATGCAATGATGGTGTCACTTGATATATTCTGATTTTACTCAATGCAGAATAGACATTTGCAATTGATGATGCTCATTATTTTTGGTTCTTGTGTTTCCAAGCAAATTATCCAGATTTTTGAACACTCTCCTCTATTATTGAAATGTACCCTTTATAACTTTTAGAGATGAATGTTGTTTTTTTTTTTGCTCAACAATTCTTGTCTGAAAGGTGAAGTGTCTGGATTACTTGTATTAGAATTATGAAGGATTGAATATAATTATGGGTGTTATTATTTGTGTACTTCAATTGTCTTGCGTGTCACCAGTGTATATAGGAATAAATCTGTAGGTCCTTAATAAGAATTCATTTGAATAATATATGTTTATGAGTGTTATGAGTATTGCCTTTTTTGCAGAAATGAAGAATACTCAGAAACTTCTATGTGATCTCAGGGAGGACTTGGATCAGATAAAGAATCTACCACTGACCTCAGACCACGAGGTGAGTGCATGTTATTACAAACTCAAGTACTACAAACTTACACAACAATGAAATGTGGTAGAAATTAAGGCCATGGTAAACAATACCTTGGTCTTTTTTCTGATTCTTCTGACACACCCTCCAGTCTTACCTTAAAAAATAAGGAGCACATTAAAAAGAATAATAATCCACAAAATATGTAATGATGAATGAGATAAAGTAAAAAGTCCTTAAATGTTGTACATTTATGTTCTGTTTTCAAGTGCACTAAAATTTAACTCTGGATGATACTAGAAAGTACAGATAAATAATTGAAAATTTAATTGACACACTTGTGACTAATTTTTCTATCTACCTTATGGGTATGTAAAACAAAGAATTAATTTACTGAAGTCTAAGGTATGGAAACTTTTTAGGGTTAATGTTGTGCACTTCCTTCAATACTAAAGGAGAACAAATAATACATCATATTAATAAAATGATTGTCATTTGAAGTATATTTGTTTGTCTTAAGGTTAAAGAAGCTGAGAATGTGGAAAAGAAGAAAGTGAAGGCCTTGGGACTGAAGAGTTCCAGGAAAAGAGATAAAAAGAGTGATACTTCAGTCAACTATGATGCCAGTCCAGTATGTAGAAAAAACTGTTTTAAAAAAGCAAGAAAAAGATTGTTATTACAATTTTAAATAACAATTAGAAATTTGCTAATAAATGTCTTGTACTTCATACAACGTACTGTTCAGTTTGCATGATATAAACAGATAATATAATTGTGCAAGTCTTGAAAAAAACATTTTTCATTTTTCAGTATATTAATTTACCTGTGATTTGCAATTCATTTACATGTATGAGTAAAAATGCAATGATTATAAAAATCAAAGTATTTTTTTTTTAGAGATTTTAACTGTCTGATAATTATCAGGATATAAAATCTTTGATAATTTGTAATGTTAAGTGTTTTTGTCAATTTCAGACCACTGCCACGTCCCCATCCCCCAGTATAGGGGAGGTACAAATGAGGAGCAGCAGCTCTAACCCTAACCTGATACAGTACGCCCACGATCACGCCAACAGACCGCGAAGTGTGCCAGATCACGTAACAATGGCGGGGGCACACGAACAACAGATCAAGGAGATCAAACTGAGGGAGGACTTCTGTACAAAGGCTGAAAGAGGTCAGAAAGGAGTCTATTATAATAATTCAAAACAGAAGAAATAGAACAAAAAAGTTTTTTACAAATGAAAATGTCTTCTTTATTGGTACTGTATACATACTGTAATCAACTTTTATTCGTGTGTGAGAAATTTTCGCGAGAGCCTCGTTATTGCGAATATTTCTTGCTGTTAACCGGTCCTTAAAGTCACTGTGTCTATCAACAACAGATCCAAAAAGGCTTGATCGCGAAAATTAATCGTCACGAACTTGTTTATCCCCAGAAAATCGCGAAAAAAAAGTTGTCGTGAATAAAAGTTGGTTTAGAGTATTTGATTTCCTTGGATATTGTAGCCCTTTAGTACTCTAATTCAAGTTTACACTGAAATATGATTGAATATGATGGAATACATATAGCAAATTGTACATGTGTTGGGATGCTATTTCAATTGAGGAGGAAAATTGCACTAAACTTTTTAGTATATTTTAAATATGTATGTTCACAGTATGTTGTATGGAATAAAGTTTTAAAGTCTACATGTTACAGCTCACAAGAATCTGAAATCACTTCTACACACAATGACGACAGAGAGGGAGAGGTTAAAGAATGCCTTAGAAATGGACAGTGATCTGGCCATGCCTTCCAGTGCAGTAGTACTACTGAAGCGAAATCTCCATGAGGTATTTATTCCCTTGATAAACATGTGATGAAAAGAACGGAATGTTATTTCAGAAATAATGTTACAAAACATGTTCTTTTTTTCTCGCTTCAAAGTGGAATTCTATTTAAATTTGCTTATTTCTTAAACAAGATAATTTCACAGTGAAAACTAAGTGCCAGAAAATGCTCAGAATGCAGGATTTTGCATTGTTCACCCTAGTCTCCCACCATAACTGGTGACATCTTTAAATCCGCTATTTTAAGTTTACTTCAAAATCATGTCTGTGTTATGTAAACATTTGTTAATTATTTGTAGGCTCTGAGGCAGAATGCTGATCTTAAGGCCAGGTTGAGCAGAATTCATGCAGATTCATTAATTCCATCTTACCCTGATCTCAAGCAGACGCCTGCCTCTCCAATACTCTCTCCTCACGAGAACAGAGTAAGTTTCTCCAGTGATGATTTACGACTGAAGAGGCTCACCTGTACATTGAGACTATATCAACTGGTCATATACATGCTTAATATTGCAAAGTGCCAAGACACAAAATGTTGATAAGTTAAAAACATCATCAAGATATCAGAGAAGTTCATAAAGATCTTTAAAAAAAAAACAACAGGGAAAGAAATCACTTCTCCCTGTAGACTTGAAGGAAATCCACTACTAAATGTACTGTAACAAGTAAATTGAAACAAGAACTTTAGACAGATGTGACTCCTAATGTATAAAATGCTTGTTTAATCAGGATCACCTGGACCTGACCAAGTCTTCGTCGTTTGACACCTGCTCTATGTCGGAGTACTATGATGCCGAGGAAGAGAACCGAGAATCACAGTCTGAGGAGTCCTCATCAGAGGTAAAACTTTATATCCAATGCCAGGCAATACTGTAGATTCTTTATCTTTCGTGAGTATTGATTATCGCGAATGGGCTATTCAACGTCAAATTGCAAGAATAATAATTTGCGAATGGTCGATTTATCAAGAGATTGTACACAGATTTTACCACAATAAAAATAATGGCGAGTACTTTTATTTTGCGTGTTGTGTTTTTTCACAAAATTACGTGAAAATTAATTCCATGCATATATTTAGGAATCTACAGTAGGCAACAATCAAGCTTTTTGGGTCATTTCATTGTCAACATCACTTTCATGTCACAACTCCTTGTTTGTGAAGCTACTGGGAGATCCTGTTGAATGAATGTTTCTCACACACTGTTTATTTACTACTGATGGAACTCAGTGTAGTACATAATGCCAGAGTTATAATGTTGCATTGCCTGATGTACATACAGTGTATAAACTATTCCTGTTACATATTCCTGTTTTTTGTTTCAGAGATCAGATGAAGAAGATATGTCCAGTGAGGAAAATGATACAGAATACAATGCAGCACAGAGTGGTAGGTTCTCCCACTTCTATTTACATTTACATTACAAATGTTTTCAATAGTGTTCAAATAGTTTTAATTTAGGACTGTGTATCTTGATGGTTACTAAAAATATGGTAAAATTGGCTACTCCTCCTACAGTTTTGGTCTGATTTCAATATAACTTGGCACACAAGTAGACTACACTAAGAACAAAAAGACTTTATGATATTACTATTTATTTTTGTGTGTATATTTAATATTTTTTGTTTCAGAGATCAGATGAAGAAGATATGTCCAGTGAGGAAAATGATACAGAATACAATGCAGCACAGAGTGGTAGGTTCTCCCACTTCTATGTACATTTACATTACAAATGTTTTCAATAGTGTTCAAATACTTTTAATTTAGGACTTCTTGATATGGAGGGGAGAAGGGGTGTTTAAAAAAACATGTAACTTTTGTGTGTATATCTAATATTTTTTTTTCTGTAAAGATTTTTAAACAGTAAATTTTTGTTAACTGAATAAAAGCAACTCACATTAAGGCCATAATAAAAATATTCCTAGATTCTCATCCCCGCCCGCCCGGATTTTATACGCCCGCCTCGATTTTTTTTTTATTTCTGTTTTTCTTCGTCTTAATTCTGATCGGGATTGGTATTCATCTACCATTCTACTTTCGTTTTAAATCCCGCGAAAGTCGACATGATTTTGACAGCTGAAAAGATGGTAATACATGCCTATATAATTTAAACAAGGGTCATTGGTTGAAAAAGATTGGTGATGATGTGAAGTAAGAGATAATTGAACCTTTACTATGACTTTTATTCGGGTATTGTAGATAAAATTATACCGATTGACCAGATCAATAAAAAATCTGCAAAATTAAAAAATAAAAAATATGAAATAAAAGCCGCCCGCCCGCCTCGATTTTTAAAAAAATTCGGATGAGAATCTAGCAATTTATTTATAATGGCCTAACCAGCAGTTATATAATTTTTCTTCTATTAAATGGTCATGCAGATATTATAGGGGGTAAGTTGACAGCTGAAAAAAAAATTGAAGTCAGCATACTTCAGATATCAGCTTTTATTAATTGAAATGTATCAGAATTACCCAGATTTATAAACCATTAAAAACTCAATCCTATGTAAGATTAAATTTAATGATATGCACCATATACATGCATATAAGTTCCATCATTTTTGTATTTGCCAATGAATTTTCAAAAGGCTCATTCAGAACTTTGGATTTATTTCATGTAAACTTTGACACTTGTAGAATACATCGGAATATGTAACTCCTTTTTATAACAATTTCAGATTTCAATAGACAGAGATGCCATGTTTACTGTAAAATTGTTAATGCTTTCAATTGACGACTTCTTGTATATTTTTGGTCTTGCCATCTAATATACACATGTACCCGGTACATAATCCTATAATTCTTAATCTTGAAAATCAGTACAGTAAAAGTCCACCTGCAACTGTCTGTATAGACTTCACAATTTTAAACCAATAGAGCTACAGTTTCATCATAGATATTTGATATAAACTATACAAGAGTTGTGATTTCATCAGAAACAGTAGATATACACTATGTTTGAATTTTGATAAGTACACAAACAAAATTTTTTTAGATTATATAATATGTTATGATTAATTTATGTGATAATTACCAATATTCCTACAGATGTTACATGCAGCATATTATCAGATTGTGTTTAATTTCCAGTTTTGTGGATGATGTGTAAGTTAGGCTACTTGTATAGTTCAGATCGAGGTCCTTTGTTGACAATATTTGTTTTTGAGTTTTGTTTACTTGAGAGTTATTTCATTCCATCTATGATCTTTCAGTATTATTTACTTTACTATTTGCACTGTATAAAGCATCTAAATTCATGTTCAAAGCATAGAATAATAAAATCTTGAAGCCCAGTTCTAATTCTTTCAAGTTTCGAGCAATCACACAACTTTCAGATTAATAACAGTCATTGTCGTGCTTGTTTACATGTATAGAAAAAAAATTTTAACTTTCAGTGTATATAAATCTTTTTGTCTGGTAGTTTCTGAAGACCAGCTGTCTGTCTCGTTTGAAACGGGTCGACGTTCCAAACTTCCCGTTCCAAAGCCAGACGCAGGAGACATCAGTTTGTGGAACATCCTGTATAAGAACATTGGGAAGGACCTCACCAAAATATCAATGCCGGTTACTCTTAACGAGCCACTTAGTATGCTGCAGGTAAGAGAGGGTTTACTGGAGGGAAATGATGCAAGTTACTTATTCAGAAAAAAAACACAGACACATAAATACATGTTTGAGAAAATAAATGCAAATTGGTAACAGCTGAATAACATGATTGTAGGATTTTATTTTAAATTGAGCAAAAATGAGTGATTCACTTCTTCTAAAATAATTGCCCTATCTTAAAATACACTACACGGAAAATGGAGTTTCGCACACATAGTTTCTAGAAAGATTTTCCCCTGTTAATATACATGTATATACAAGTAACTAGAGTGTAATACATGTATTTCGTATTGTTCAGAGGTTGTGTGAGGAGATGGAGTACAGTGAACTGCTGGACAGGGCTACAGAAAAGGAGGACCCATACCAGAGAATGGTGAGAATCAAAACAAATAAATGCTGAAATTGACCAGATTCTTTATTTTGTATACTTCTTTTAAAAAAACTGGATTGTCTCCTTTATGATATCATAAAAGCAAAAATTACCGATCTTCTAGCTAATTCAGTAAATTTTTGTCTGCTGTCAGCATATATCATTGGTTTGTTTTTTTATCAATGTTAATTTGATGATAGAAATTTTACCACAGACGTGACCATTTTGAAAATACCACTCTTAAGACATCATTTCTTCAGTTTTTCTTCATAACATACACTGTATTTTATTTTCATTGTCAGATCTGTATAGCTGCCTTTGCTGTCAGTGGCTATGCTAGCTCTGGATACAGGGCAGGTCACAAGCCATTCAACCCATTACTAGGGGAAACATATGAGTTAGTCAGGGATGACAAGGGCTGGAAGTTTGTGGCTGAACAGGTAATGAGTTTCTCTTTTTTCCGTTTATATTCTCTCTTCTCTGGTAGAAATATTGATAGAACCAAGAGACTCAGTCATCCTGTAACAGAATATTCTTGACAAAGAAATTATTAATCATTTGCTATACTTTGAAATCATTATTCATCAATAGGTCAGTCATCACCCTCCTGTGTCGGCTTGTCACTGTGAATCAAAGAATTTTACCCTCTGGCAAGGTAAAGCGTTATGTCTGTTTATGTATCTCCTATTTGATTTCAACTGAAGTCAAGGTAATTGACAATCTACCTAATTCTACAAGATATAAATTTTTGAGGCTTCTTTTTCAGACACAAGAATAAGGACCAAATTCTGGGGGAAATCAATGGAATTCCAGCCTATTGGACACGTGAATGTCTACCTACCCAAGTATGATTTTAAAATCTATATCTATGATAGCATACACTTGGTTCTTCAAACTGTTAAGTACCCAATGCAACCAAAATATGGGAGATATAATAAAATAAATCTCACATCCGATTCAGCTTTGACATTTTGACTGATGCCTTTATAAACATTGCCAGCTAAAATCAAAGGGTATGTCATGACCCTGAGATATCTTCATTTTGTCAAGTTCATATTTACTACAGTTAAGATCCAGTTAAAAAGAGTCCAGATCATCTATCTGGCTTCAAAAGTGTTAAGATTGTAAAATGTATGAAATGTTTTGCATACACCTAGAGGAGTTAAAGAATGCAAATTTTTTGCAATATTTATGATATCTCTTTGGGAATAAAAGTCTAGTGTGGCTAATTCTAAATTCATGTAATTTTGATACAGATATAAGGAGCATTATCATTGGAACAAAGTGACGACATGTGTACACAATCTCCTGGGAGGTCAGCGCTGGGTGGATCAGTATGGGGAAATGCAGATCAAGAATGGAGGGATTACCTGTAAACTCACATTTAAAAAGGTAATAAATGTACTGACCCATTTATACAGTAATTCAATTGATATAGTAACTCTATAGATCACGCAAATGGTGAACATAAATACACATGTAATATAATAATTTTACACAATTGTGGTATCTTTTGGTCTCGTGGATATCAGCTTGATTTATAAATGTGTTATCCATAAACTCAATGAAAGAATTACTTTTCGATTAAGAAACTTTTTATATGCATTGTTATATTTTTAGCCCGCTGTTTTTTATTCTTATTTAGTTGCAGGTGGAACAAAGTGATGATGTGGTCTTTTGCACAAAAATGCTCATTATTTTTCCAATGAAAATTAAATTGTTTAAAAATATTTGCAGGCTTCACAGTTTTCCTCTAGGAGACATGAGGTATATGGTCAGATACTGAATTCTGAAGGAAAGGTTGTTCACAATTTATTTGGGAAGTGGAATGAGGCCCTGTATTATGGTCACGCCCCCTCGTCCCGCTGTGTATGGAGGCCAGGTAAGGGGGAAATGATAAACTATTTTCATTTATTGCAACTGAGATTGAGCATTGAGCAAGAAGTAAATACCTGGTAAAGACATGGTTATACATGTAGTGATCATGGTGATAATGAATTCAAATTCAGAGCAACATTGTTTTCATTCTATGTAGTTATCAGATTACATGATTTTATAAGATATTATTTTATCAGTTAACAAATTATGTTTATTATGAGTCAAAAACTGCCATAGATGAATGATAGTTATTTTATTTAAACATGATTTACATTTTGTTTTAAAGGGGCCATGCCAGATGATTATGAGTTGTACTATGGGTTTACACGATTTGCAATAGAACTCAATGAGTTGAATAAGGATGAAGCCAAATTCCTGCCAGTCACAGACACAAGATTCAGGCCGGACCAAAGGTATTCAAGCAGTTTGTTGACAGGGTTTCTATGTTTAATAAATTTTACATCAAACCTAATAGAATAATAATCAAAATTTAAACTCACTGAAGTCAACTTCATTAATGCAGGTGTATTTGTTTAGTTGAAAATTATTTAGTGGAGAATAGTTGTTAAAAAGAAAGGGGAAGTTAATATTCCTTGCTTCATAGACCATTGATGATGACAAATGCAATACTGGCACAAAAAATTATGTACATGAATGCTTGATCATTAGAAAATTGTTTTTCAATGGATTCTTGAGATGTAGGCTTTCACAAGTTGTATAAAGGTGGAAAGTTTTTTAAAAAATTATCGAAACATCATCCAGTTGCATGTAGACAAATGTCTTTTAAAATTTTTTATAAATTCCAAATAGAAACACTTGCTGTATGCATCAGGCAAGGAATGTTTGTCAGCCACAGCAGTTTCAAAATGTAAATTTTATATAGATTACTTGAGGAGGGTGACATTAAAGGATCTGAAGAAGAGAAGAAGCGAGTAGAACAGCTGCAGAGGGATAACCGAAAACTTAGGGAGGAGCAAAGGATCCAGTATGTTCCCCGCTGGTTTAGGTAAGATGTGTGTGTGTTGCTTATCATTGAAAATCTCTTGTTAGGGGAGAAAAAAGAAATCATTTGCTGCTATCATTGAGAAACTGGATACTGAAGGGCACACAAAATTCACCCTTCTTTTCCCACTAAAATTTCTAGCTCAGTTATTCTTTTGTTTACTTTTTTATGTGTGTTTGTTATTATGTATTTATTTGGGGATTTTATGGATAAAAAATAACCCCAAAAGATCTTATAAATTTAATTTGCATAAACAAATGAAAGGTGGTTTTAATTGTTCACCTGTATGTGTATTAGCATAAACAATATTGAAATTCAAGCAATAAATACCGTATAACTGGATTTTTCTACGGGGTGCTATTTTTTGCGAAATTCTGAGATCAAGTCTTAATCGCAAAAAATATGTAAATAAAATCCGGAATTTTCAGTTGCGATAATCGAAGTTCTACTTTTACAGATACCGGAAGTATATGTAAATAATGCCGTTGCACGTTTTCAATCGTATTTTACAGGTAATTTACTTGATATCAACAACAATGATTGTTTTTCGAATAAATAAAACGAATTCCTAAAGATTCAATATTTATTTGTTCCTACATTGTATTTCATGATTTATTTATATGAAACCCGAATTTGGCTATTCCGCGGCTTGATCGGGTCCTTCACCAGTGTTTACCAGATTTTTCTTAATCGGTATTCTGTCCTTGAGAAAAGAATTCTTGTGTAATATTTCCCCTACTGGGATTATATAAACTCTTTATAATCATAAATGAAAGTTCATAGTCTATGAGAACTTACTGAAACGAACTTCTGTAAATTAATTTCAAAGAATTATCGTCTCGGTTTCAATTCAAAATAATTGTGACTTTGTTTCTAATTTACCCTGTGAATAATAACCTATTGATTATAACAACACACGGACGACCCACAGGTGTAGTGTCTATGTAAACACCCATTTAACAGCCCCAAGGCCTTCACTGTTTCCAGGTAAGTCCAGACTGCATCTATTTTATGCTTGATTGGCGTGTATACAAACGCAATCAAAACTTCGAGAGATAGAGAGTAAAATTCAATGAAATATGTGTAACGGGACCAGGTTTTTGTTCGAGAGATAGAGAATTTCGAGAGATAAAAGTTTGAGAGATCAGGAGTAAATTTGCTTAGTTATATAGAGGAAAAAAACGGAACCAGAGGTTCACTTTGAGAGATCGGAGTTCAAGCCATCGAGAGTCACCTGTATTTTAAATTGCTTTGGTTTGTTCAATAAGAAATAAAAATAGACTTTATTGTTTAAATGTCTAGTAATGAATTCAATGAAAATAGACTTTATTGTCAAAGTGAAATCACAAAAATTAAAATCGCAAAAAATAAATATACCTATTTCAGGATCAAATCGCAAAAATTTGCACCCGCATTAAAAACCAGTTATACGGTATGTAGGTATTAGTATTTTAGAGAATGGAAAAATGTACATGACCTTGTTAATAATTTCATATGGAAGTTTTAGTGTTGACATCTGATTTGCTCTTCTTTTTAAAAAACAGCAAAATTGATGACAGCAAAGATAGTGATTGTTATGAATTCAATTGTAAATACTGGGAAATGAAGAGGGATCCAGGATTTGACAAACTGTCCTTACCAAGGCTCTGGTGATTAATCGACTCTGGACTGACTTACATAATGAAGAAATTTGTTGTTTATAGAAGGAGTTTACATGTCTTTGGATTTCTTTTCATCAGTTTTTCTTGTGAGGAACACTTTCATGGGCATTTCAAATAACAGTTTAGACTTTTTACAAAGAGTCAGAATCTCGAGTGACCCCCCATTTTGTTTTTCTTACCTTTTTTTAAATTGAATATGATCAGTAAAATATACAAAGGTGTAAATTTGAATTGTAACTTATTAGTTATCTTGAATGAAGATTATCTTTAGATAATTTATGCTGTAACTAGAATTTTTAAAAGTTACATATCATTTGACTGGATTGATTCCCTTCGTTATTCTTACCAGAACATATAATTTATTGTTATTTTGTATTTTGTTATCTGTAAGAGGAGAATACCATTGTGAATTGTTAGTTATTTACACTGGTGTTATTCTCATGTTATTTACATTATGTTATTTCACTGTTATGCATTTTAGCATAATGATGAACATACATTTAAAGCAATGATTAAAAATGGATGCTACTTTGAAAAATTATTATTATGTATATATAAGATAGAGCTGTAAAGTAGTAATGATTGTGCAATATACAAAGTCTATTTCATCAGATGTATTTTTAGCACTATTGTGTTCGTATTTTTTTGTTTATTTTAGCACACTGAAACCATCTGTGATATTAAGCACGTTAGAACAGAGGGCAGAGCTTGAAAGTGTAATATGCACAAGTTTGTAGAACATTCCAAAAAATTTTTCTTCACTTAATTCTGATTGGTTTTTAGTTTCTTATAAACTCACGCTGTGTTTACATTTTTGCATATCTTACTCCTATAAGAGATGTGTCTGAAATGTGGGCTTTGTCTACATTCATGACGACATGTCCTATCTGTAATTGAGTTACATGAAAGGTCGCAATGATGTTTGTGCAATCCTGCTTAGATGAAGGATACTTAACAACACTAGTACTTGTATTATTGTAATACTTTTTGTTTTCAATGAAATACTACCAACCTCAATTGTTAAAAGAGAAAAAATCCTTCACTATACAGATGAAATTTTTTTTTTAAGAACTCCTAAACTTTAAGTTTCAAGGCCATCAAATCTTCAGATGTTTATATATACCATCAAAGCAATTTAAATGGTTGAATTTTTCCCATATTTGTGTAGTAATTAACAGAAAATATGAATTCATGTATATTAAGTACAAATTTACCAAAGGTACATGGTATAGGAACAAAACTACCGGTACACAATTTGCCAAAAAATTGAATTATCCATCAGTCCTATTGATTTAACAAATTCTTTTTCATCTGTCTCATTTCTAAAGTGACATGGTTCTTAGTTATACATACACATGTATTTGATGTGATGTCAGTTGAAAATGTAGTAAAGATTTAAATTTTTTAAAAACTGTGACTTTCTTTCGCATGTATGTCAGGGAACCCTGCATTACATGATATTTGATATACTTGCAGAATGTTAATGCTTAATTTTGGTACATAGATTGGTAGAGAAAATCACTAGGAACATGTCTAAGTTAACTCATACTTGGTATCAGTTTATTTGGCAGTTTTTCTAGATCTCTCATAAAGGTCCCCCCTCCCCATCCCCCTGTAAACACTATTTTATGCCTGGGTCAATATACATGGTGTTGCAGGATTACTTTAATGGTTAATTATTATGTGTGGAAATGTAGCTTAGTTTTTCATTAGTGCCTGAATTGTTAATTTATTAACAAACAATAATGTTTTATGACCTCAAGAAAGTTGTGGAATAAGCTATGTTTATCATTTTCTGAAATTTGTCAAATTCAAGCAATTAATGGTAGTATAATGTGAAGTTTTATTCTTTAATAGAAATTATAATGTCATTATGTATCAAAATCTGCAGAATGTTGAAGTTCTTCAGCACATTAGTTCAATTACAAACTTTCGAAGTTCTTCAGCACAACAGTTTCGATTACAAACTTTCTGAGCAATGTTCATGAAAAATAGTTAATTCACAAACAATTAGATTGTTAGTTAGCACAGAATGAACAAAATTGTGAACATTTAATATTTGTTCACCATTGGGGATGTACAGACATACCTTTAGACTGATATTTTAGTGTAAGCATTACCTGTATAATTTTATACATGTTTTGTGTATTGTTATTTAAATGAAGTACTTGTAGTTTGTCAGGATATAATTTTTGCTTAAAAACCAAAGATTTTTTTGTCGTAAAATGTTGAACTTGTTAAAATATACATATGTATTTTTTTCTCGAAAGACATGTACATGTACTTTACAGGGAAATTTCCACCACTACAGTGTATTATATTTTGATCCTAGACACAAGTGGGTGAATTTAAGATGGGGAAAATTCAAAGAAAACAATTTAATTTTTTAGAACTGTGACTTCCAGTAAATTTAAAATGGGGCAAAATTTTTTGCAAATGTGAATGAGCAAAAATATTGGTAGTTCAACAGTAATGAAATGTTTAGTTTGATGATAAAGTTTCTTGACACACCAAGTATATGAACAAACAATGAAAAACTTCTATTAAAAGATTATTGTAGCAATTGAGAATATATTACTTACATGTAAATGTTAAGTTTTTAAATACCGGGTAGTTGAAAATCCATTTTTGTGGGATTGTAAGAATTGATATATGAACCTTTGTCATTACAGGTGCCGTTATGATGTGATTTAATTTAAATTTATGTGATTTGAAGTTATGAGAGAGTTTGCACATTATAAAAACATATTGCCTCAACATTGCATGCTTTTGTTTGAAAATGCCACTATTGAATTAAAGTTATGCTTTTACAACTTTATTGTTTTACATATTCATGAACTTTAAGATGCTTTTTATTGGTAGTTTATTCAAGTAAGACTGTGTGAGGATTTCAACATCATGGTACATCATTCAGGTGTTGAAGTTAAAAAGAAAAACAAGCCATCTTTATATCTATGCAGCTTTAAGATCTTTTCCTGACTGGTCTTTCCAAGTGAACTATGGGCGAAGGACATTGTGCATCATGTCTAAAATGAGATTTAAATAATGTTATAAAGGTGACAGATAGGTCATTAATTTGGTATGTATTAAACATTTCACAAAAAAAAAAAAAAAAAAAATTGAGTACAATCATACTTGTAGCTGGCTCACTTTGCACTTTTGCATTTATTTTAAACAGTTATTCCAACTTCCAAGGCCAAAAAAAGCTGTTTGGAAACATTTAAAGATGAATAAAGTTATGAGATTAGGTTAATCATGTATGGTTAATTAACAGGGGGCTTAATTGTTTTGAGCAGGGAAAGGCATACTGTATAAGTGGAAATTTTAGCAAGAAGCAAATTTAGCAATTTTCCTTTAACAAGAAATGTTTTTGAAACACTTATGCCCCACTCCCCCCAAATAATTGGAATTTTTCCAAGTAGAAGGGCATAACTCTGTCAAAAATTGTTCGATTGTACCCAAAACAGAACTTGACCTAGATGTTCTTATGAAAAATCGATATACCAAATTTCATTTCAGTAGCTGTAAAATCTGCTAAGAAAATAAACTGAAACTGCAGATAATTTGAATTTTCCAATTCCAACAGGCAGAACACTGTCAAAAATGGCTTGATAGTTATCAAAACAGAACTTGTCCTAGATATTCTTATGACAAATCTGTATGCCAAATTTCTTTTCAGTAGGTCTAATTACCTGCGAAAAAAATTTAGGAAACTGCAAATAATTTGAATTTTTTCTAAGTCCAAGGGTCATAACTGTCAAAAAAAAACCAGTAGTTTATTGTACTCAAAATAGAACTTGACCTAGATATTCTTATAAAAAATCTGTATCCCAAATTTCTTTTCAGTTTAACCTCTGCGAAGAAAATAAGGCAGCAAATCAATATGCCCTCCCTTCTTTGAAAGGGGGCATAAAAATGATATTTCACTCTTAGTGAGATGCAATTTTTACCGTTTTAAAATGCTCACTATAGAAGCTATTACAAATATCACACAATTAATTTTTAGCGATATTCAATTTTAGTGGTCTCGGCACCCGCACTGATCATGCCAAAATTAAATCCTTGCTAAAAATTCTGCTTAAATGCAGTAGGTGAGCTAAAAACAAAAGTACTGGTTGCTAAAAAACTTATTCTCAAGAACCACTAAGCAGATTATCACCAAACTTGCACACAAGTATGAGGATATAATTGTTCAAGACATCACCCTAGGGCAAAAGGTGTGGTCTCAAGGTCACATCAAAGATGACCCAAAATTATGTTTTGTTAGAAGTTTTATAGTTTGCTTACTGTAAGGACTAGGATAATCAAATCTTGTAAATTGATTGCATTTTAAGACCTCGTATCTTTGACTCAAAAGTAGGTCACAGTGACCTACTGTTTTAATTTTGCAGGCATTTATTTTCAAATTGACTTTGAGACACATTTTGGACACTTGAAGGCCTATGATCATCAAATTTTGTCAGTTGATGCATCTTGGGTTTTGAAGTAAGTCAACTGTATAGTAAGTAGTTCACTGTAACCTACTTTTTGAATTTTATGGCTAATCTTCTTCAGAACCTATAAGTCCATAATTCCAGATACTGAGACTTTGTAAGTTGATGCATCTTGAGGCCTTTATTAACTCCTCTGAGCCAAAGCTCAAAGAGCTTATGCTATGGCCATTTGTGCGGTGTACATAAACTTTTCAGAATATAGGCCATTACTCAAGAACCCTTTGGCAAATCATTGTCAAATTTGTCACAGGGTATCCTTGGCCCAAGGGCTACCATTTATACTAAATCTAGGGTTGGGACCCTTAAACAAAGGGTGATAATCAGGAAAATAAAACCAAAAGTACTGTTGCTAAAAAATCTTTTTCTCTAGAACCACCTGGCAGATTATCACCAAACTTACACACAAGGATGAGAATTAGTTGAAAATTATAAATTGTTCAAGGCATCACCCTGGGGCAAAGGGCAAGGTCTCCAGGTCATTTCAAAGTTGACCAAAAATTACACTTTATAAAAACATTGATATTTTGCTTACTATAAAAACTAGGATCATCAAATCTTGTAAGGTGATGCATCTTAGGACTTCACATCATGTTTACTCAAAAGTAGGTCACAGTGACCTACTTTTTAAATTTTTTGCAGGCATTTGTTTTCAAATTGATTTGGAGGCATATTTTGGACACTTTAAGGCCTATGTTCATCAAACTTTAATTGTCAGTTGATGCATCTTGGGTGGTTGAAGAATCTTAAAAGGGTGGTTGACCTACTTTTTGAATTTTATGGCTAATCTTCTTCAGAACCTATAAGTCCATAATTCCAGATACTGAGACTTTGTAAGTTGATGCATCTTGAGGCCTTTATTAACTCCTCTGAGCCAAAGCTCAAAGAGCTAATGCTATGGCCATTTGTGCGGTGTACTTAAACTTTTCAGAATATAGGCCATTACTCAAGAACCCCTCGGCCAATCATTGTCAAATTTGTCACAGGGTATCCTTGGCCCAAGGACTACCATTTATACTAAATCTAGGGTTGGGACCCTTAAACAAAGGGTGATAATCAGGAAAATAAAACCAAAAGTACTGGTTGCTAAAAAATCTTTTTCTCTAGAACCACCTGGCAGATTATCACCAAACTTACACACAAGGATGAGAATTAGTTGAAAATTATAGTTCAAGGCATCACCCTGGGGCAAAGGGCAAGATCTCCAGGTCATTTCAAAGTTGACCAAAAATTACACTTTATAAAAACATTGATATTTTGCTTACTATGAAAACTAGGATCATCAAATCCTGTAAGGTGATGCATCTTAGGACTTCACATCATGTTTACTCAAAAGTAGGTCACAGTGACCTACTTTTTAAATTTTTTGCAGGCATTTGTTTTCAAATTGATTTGGAGGCATATTTTGGACACTTTAAGGCCTATGTTCATCAAACTTTAATTGTCAGTTGATGCATCTTGGGTGGTTGAAGAACGTCAACTTAAAAGTAGGTCCCCTTGACCTACTTTTTGAATTTGATGGCTTATATCTTCAAAAACATTTAAGGCAATTATTTCAGATACTGAAAGGTTTAGAATCATCAAACCTTGTGAGTTGTAGCATCTTGGGGCCTCAAAACATTTTTGTCGACAGGGGGCCACAGTGACCTTTTTAAATTTTGCAGGCATTTGTTTTCAAATTGTTAAAATGGCATATTTTGAATATTTTCAAACCTATGATCATCAAACTTTGTCAGTTGATGCATATTGGGTCTTCAAAGAACGTCTACTCAAAAGTAGGTCACGGTGACATACTTTGACATTTTATGGCTATATTTAAATATCTCAGGTACTTATTGGCTTAGAATCATAAAACTTTGTCAATTGAAGTATCTTGGGTTTTCGGAGACAGTCAACCAAAAAGTAGGTAACAGTGACCTACTTTTGACTCCTTTGACATTTTATGGCTATATTGAAGTATATTCTCTGGTACTTATTTGCTTTATTACTAAGAATCATCAAAATTTGTCTGTTGATGCATCTTGCATGGGTCTTTGGAAAATGTTGACCAAAATGTAGGTCACAGTGACCTACTATTAACATTTTATGACTCTACTGTAGAAGCACAAATTTTCGTGGGCATAAAATTTCATTGTTTTGTCATCAAAAATAATTTTGTGTGCATTTAATTTCATTGTTTTAAAACTAAACCTATTCTATATATAGTCAGATAAAATTTCATGTGGGATTTAATTTCGTTGAATTTTGTTAACAACGAAATAAATGAAATTTAATCCCCCACGAATATTTGTGCTTTTACAGTATTTAAATCTCAGGTTCCTGTTGGCTTAGAATCATCAAACTTTGTCAGTTGATGCATCTTGGGTCTTGGAGAATGTCAACCAAAAAAGAGGTCACGGTGACCTGCTGACTATATTCAGGTATCCAAGGTACTTATTAGCTTAGAATCATCAATCCTTGTCAATAGAGGTAACTTGGGTCTTCGGAGAACGTCAACCAAAAAATAGTTCATGGTGACCTCATTTGAAATCTAATTGCTATACCTCAGGTACTTAAAAGTTTAGAATTATCAAGCTTTGTCAATTGATGCATATTGGGTCCTCAGATAATGTCAACCAAAAAGTAGGTCAGGGTCACCTATAAGCTACTTTTGAAATTTTATGGCTATATTAAATTATTTTCAGGTTTTTATTGGCTTAGAATCTACAATCTTTGTCAGTTGATGTATCTTAGGTCCTTGGAGAATGTCAAACAAAAAAGTAGGTCACAGTGACTTGGGTATTTTAAAAATTTTATCGCTGTATTCAAATATTTCAGGTCTTGAATTGCTTAGAATTATCAATCTTTGTCAGTTGATGCATCTTGGGTCTTCAGAGAAGGTCAACTAAAATGTAGGTCATGGTGACCTAATTTTGAATTTTTTGGAAAATTTAAAATATTTCTACTTATACGGTATTTAAATACTTTTCATCAAACTTTGATGCATCTTGGGTCTTCAGAGAAGGTCAACTAAAATGTAGGTCATGGTGACCTAATTTTGAATTTTTTGGAAATTTTAAAATATTTCAGGTACTTTTAAGCTAAGAAACTCTGTTCAGTTGATGCATCTGTTTCCTCAGAATGTGTTAAATAAAAAGATGGGGACCTACTTTTGGAATTTCTAGGCATTTTTTGAATATTTCAAGTAATAAGAGTCTTTTAAGATAATCAAAACTTTTTCATTTGAGGCATTTTGGGGTCTCAGAGTATGTTTACCAAAAAGTAGGTTACTGTGACCTACTTTTGAAATCTCATGGCTATATCTTTATATTTCAGATAACAAGGGGCTTAAAATCATCACACTTTGTCATTTGATTATTCTGCACTCTTAGTGTTTTAACCAAAATATAGGTCTTGATGACCTAATTTTGCAATTTCAAGGCTTTATCTATATGTACAGGATACTTAGAAGCTTTGAATAGAAGTGATAGATTGTATATTTATCAGAAGATCGATTCAAGGCCCTTGGGCCTCTTTTTTTTTTAAAGTAGGTCATATTGACTTACTTTTTGAAATTTGCAGGCATTTGTTTTGAAATTGTTTTAGAGGCATGTTTTGAACACTTTTTAAAGATGTATGATTGTCAAACTTTGTCAGTTGATACATCTTGGGTCCTCGAATAATGTCAACTAAAGAGTAGCTAGGTCACATTGACTTCTTTTGAAATGTAAGTACATTGACCCCATGGGCCTCCTGTTTCAAGTCCAGCTGCTGACACAATTTTTATGCCTTGCTATGAATATGGCCAGGGTGTATATTGTATAGCTCTTCATTTTTCCATCACAGTTTGCGTTTAGATCAGTTTCAAAGATATTATCCAAGATATTTTAATCAAATATTGCATGCAAGTACATACTGATGAGAACTATTCAACTTCATTTTTTTTCCCCTGGGACTTTCTTTACCCTTACTTTTTCTTAAATTTGTGTTTAGGTAAGTTTCAAAGCTCCTTTCAAAGATATTTTTATCAAACTTTAATAATACACTGATACATATCGATGAGAACTATACAACTGCATCCACATTTTTGACTTTTCCTTTGACTTCACTTTACTTAATTTTTGACTGACTAATGGCATGTTGTTTTACATATCATCCAAGTATTTTTCATTCACTCATATTGAGATGTCACCAAATACAGGTTATGGGCTTCAAAATTACCCCTATAATTGGCACTCATGAACACTGAGCAGTACGAATTCTTTATGATGCTAATGCCTACCATGACAGAAGACACAAGTTTAACATCTCATCCTAAAGACCAGTGACTATCCCTTCTAATGCAGGATACTTGGCAAAGGAACAGCCTACATTTATTTCATAGGTTTGACATGGTGTGGCCAAAGAGAATCGAACCAGGGTTTCTGATCACAAAGCTAGCTTCCTACTACTAAGCTATAATGACTACAATCGCATCATCTCGGGTCTTTCCGTCAGAGGTCGGAAAAAAACCTCGAATGTATTAAGTTCACTGGATGTTAAAAATTTATACATTTCCTGTTTATTCAAGTATAGGATATATGCAGTTAGAAGTCCCTTCTATAGTATATTTTAGGTAATATCATTACATTGAATAAAATTAAACTCCATACTAGTATTCCACAGATAAAAGGTCCCCATGCATTTATTTCAAAGATCGTGAAAAGGGAGGGTTGTCATGGCATCTACCATATACATTCGAGGTCGTTTTTCCGCTAGTCGGAAAGGCCCGAGAAGTTGCGGTTGATAATGACTAGTTCATAAAACTATGAAAGCCAGTGAGTATCAAATGAAATAAAAACAATGTCCCATTACCTCGTTATGATATGAGAAAAAGGGCATAATTCAAGTTCTTCCAAGGTGAACCATAGATACCTTCCATAAAGTTAATAGTAAACAAAATAATTTTGTGTTATTAAGATGCCACTAGGCCTCTTTATTTGTCACATTACGTGTAAAATGTACAATATAATTTATACATTCTGTATAATAATAATCTTAGTACTGAGCTGTACAGTATACACAAATGACCCATTCAGTTTACCTACAAAGTACACTGCAAATCAGAGAAACTACCCATACACCTTCTGCCATTTAGTGTGTAAACAGATAGCCTACATTTTATAGAAGCTGAAAGATGTTCCAAAACTACTAACTTTAGTTTTCATCGAGTTAACTTGTCTCTCAATCAGAAAAATGTAATCTGGAACATTAATACATTTGTATTTGAGGTACAATGAAAGCACATTCCTGCTTGAAAGAGTGAAGCTGGAAAATGCATGCATTTTGTCAGCAAACTGAATGATATTCAAGTTTTTACATGTAAAATCTGTACACCAAAATTAAATACACAGAAGGGCAACAATTGTTCACTCTCTCTTTCCACCTATTCACATTGCACGATCAGGAAAGACTTCTCTCAGTACTCCTTTATAAGAAGGGAGTTCCTCGACAGATCCACAGTAATAACGAGGCCGTTTACCTCCTCAATGACTGATAGACTGTTATGTTGGTTATGTTTCATGATAGCAAGGCAATTACCAGCAAGCTATTAAAATGTGACAAAAATGGACAAATTTTGTATGTGCAGTATTAGCTATTTTTACTTTCACACTAATAACATTTTTGTAGACTGCACTTTCTGTTATATTTTTCAGGAAATTTTACTGCAATATGTCAATATGTATCAAAGGAAAAAATCTTTCATAAATCAATTACACACACCATCAAATTATTTAGTTACAATTTACAATCAAAATCTTTGTGAAAATGACACAGATAATACCAACAGCAGTATAGAATTTTTCTTTAATAACAGATTCTATATCAGGTATTTTAGGAATCCTCTATACATATCCCCAGTAAGTTTCTATTCACAGATGAACTTCTAATCCACAAAAATATTCTATTAATCCTTCAATTTTTTTTGTAATTAAAAAAATCACAGTTCTCTGTAGGACTTAAAGGAATTAGTGGTTAAATTTCAATAGGAGGAAAAATCCATGGAAAAGAACTCTGAAAATGGAATTCCTACAGGGGGATATGTATAGTATTTTTCTCAGGACAAACTACAGTGTATATCCTATTTATAGAGATAAAATAAAACACCAGAGAGCAGTCACTCTTCAACACATTCAACAATTATACAAAAATGAATATAAACATTTATAATGCAATCTGTAATTCACAGTTTTTTTTTATGACAAGTACATTCGATGCAAGTGCATTCGCACAACCCAATATACAGCTTATAAAACCAATAAAAATGCATTCTGGAATTTCAAAGTTTTGTTCTAAATTACAAAAAATTCCTTTTTTTATGATGAATTACAGAGCCTGAAAAAAAGAACAGGGGCTGAAGTCATGGTGTAAGACCTAAAAAAAGCAAACATGCATAACTACAACACATGACAACTATGAAAGACTATAACAACTGGATTCACAGACTTAAAACTTGCAAAGAAATACACTTGGTTTCTACAGAATAGCATCTCTACTTGAATTGTGTTAAATTCTGTTGGTAGAGAGTAAAAATGGAAAATTAAAATGGAACATGTTCTTTTAGACTAAATTCATCTTCATTTTTTTTTCTTCAGTCAGTTGTACAGAAATCATATACATAGTTGGATTATATTAATTGCAATGATTTTGCTGATAAATGATAGAAAAAAATTTATAAGAAAAAAATATGGATCCAAACCTAATGCAAAATAAAAATTATGCTTCCGTTTATCAACACTTTAGGTAATTGGAAAGATGTACAAATGGTTCAAAGCAATCTGATAAAAGAAATCTAAGTAAGATTTTGTGTACGTCCTAATTCATGTGTAAAGTTTACATTTTCTTTATTAGAAACAACACAAAGTTCATAGAATATTCAGTTTTGTGAACCACACCTTGTTTCTGTTTTTTAAATCCAAGGACATCCCTAAGGAAAAAACATTTGACTGATCTTTATCCTTTAAAACTGTTCACATAAGAAAACGTTTGTGATTGGATCATTCTTGAAGTCCTGTTCACCAATCATTTGTCTTGTTACTACTTGCAGCATCCTCCCTCTGATTGCTGTGTTTGTTGGCTGTTTACATGTACGCCCCCTTGTCGTGAGGGTGTTGGTCCTCCGCCTTCATTCTTGGGCAGTTTCTTAGCTAGAAAAACAGAAGTCCAACTTTTAGATATGTGTAATCTTATATGTCTAATACTTTGTAGGATTATCATGTTAAGTACAAAATCAATGTCTCATAAATGAAGTGATACCACTGTCTTCTATACTTAGGCCAAGCTTAAAAAATTCTTTGTTTGCAGTTGCTGACCTATAATTTTTAGCTCACCTGAGCCAAAGGCTCAAGTGAGCTTTTCTGATCACCTTTTGTCCATCGTCCGTCCGCCTGTAAACTTTTAACATTTTCGACTTCTTCTCAAGAACCACTGGGCCGATTTTAACCAAACTTGGTACAAAGCATCCTTGGGTGAAGGGGAATTTAAATTGTTAAAATGAAGGGCCAGGTTCTCTCACAATTGGAGATAATCAAGAAAAGACAATAATAGGGTGGGGTCATTAAAAAATCTTCTCAAGAACCACTGGGCAAGAAAAGCTGAAACTTATGTGGAAGCATCCTGGGGTAGTGTAGATTCTGAATTGTTCAAATCATGACCCTTGGGGATTGGGCGGTGCCACAATAGGGAATCTCAAGTTTTACATAGAAATATATAGGAAAAATCTTCTTCTCAAGAACTACTTCACTTGGCCAGAAAACCTGAAACTTATGTGAAAGCATCCTGGGATAGTGTAGATTCTAAATTGTTCAAAGCATGACCCCCGGGGGTTGGGTGGGGCCACAACAGGGAATCCAAATTTTACATAGAAATATATAGGAAAAATCTTCTTCTCAAGAATCACTGGGCCAGAAAAGCTGAAATTTATGTGGAAGCATCCTGGGGTAGTGTAGATTCTAAATTGTTCAGATCATGTCCCCCGGGGACTGGGCAGGGCCATAATAGGGATTAAAGTTTTACATAGAAATATATAGGAAAATTTTTTAGAAAATCTTTTTCTCAAGAACTACTTTGCCAGAAAAGCGTAAACTTATGTGGAAGCATCCTGGGGTAGTGTAGATTTTAAATTGTCCAAATTATGACCTGTGGGGTACGATGGGGTCACAATAGGTATTACAAGGGGGGAATCTGGTTAAGAATAGCATGGTCAAAGCTTCTCAGGTGGGCGATGTGGCCCATGGGCCTCTTGTTAGACTGGGTAGGAAGGTAGGCATTCTTCTTTTTTTTTTTTGAAAAAAAAAAATGTTTTCAGATTATTGTTAGATAACAAATAATGGAGCTTTTTATAAGCCCACTAAACATGATTCATGAATAAGCTCCACTCTTGTTATAAACCACTGACTGATAAAAACAAAAGTCAAAAATTGAAAATGAAAAAGTTTCAATATCCTGAATAATTGAAAAAAAAAAATTACAAATGGCTAAAAATAAGTTTGGGTTGCATTTTCATTGGGTCGGTAGGCAACTGCAAACAAACAAATTTTTATTTTAGGCCTTATTCAATACCTATTGCCAAAAATATATCGTTGACATTCATGGCTGTTTTAGCTGATGTTTCCATAAATAATAAACTGTTCTCCTCTGCATATGCCTGGGCTTCCTATAAGAATAAAGAATACATTCAATGACAGTTTTGATATATATGATACATATGCAATTTATTTTGTTGGTCAAATAATGAACCAAAAAGTTGTATGAAGTTCTTTTAGTGAGATTTCAAACACAACATTCCTAAAATTTCCACACCATAAAACCACTAAAATTATAAATTAATTGCATTTTCCTCATATTCATCAAATTTTTTGACAAATTCAGTTAGACATAATATTTTTCATTTTTACCTCATATTCAACCATTCTCTTTTGTGCCAAGTCTGATTTGTTCCCTGCCAGAGCAATCACAATGTTAGGACTGGCCTGTCTTTGAAGTTCTTTGACCCAGTTCTTTGCCCGACCAAAGGTATCCTGTACAAAATAAAATTTTTACTTCAATTAAAAGATTAAAGCATCATTAAGAATGATTGTATGTTGCTTAATGTCCCTCTTGAGAATTCTTCACTCATATGGAAATGCCTTATCAAGAATGAAGACAACACATTAATGAAGGACAACTCTTTAATTTATAATTTAATTCAAAAAGTCTTTAAATGAAGCTTGAAAATTAAATATTTTCATGCAACAATTTTCATTATCAATGTGTTTCAATGTTCTTTGCAAAGCTCCATAAATTACTTCTAATTTCATATCATGTTAATAAACATTGGTATCTTAGGCCATATAAAATTGAAATCTTTTTTCAACCAAAGCGCATCCGTTTAAGATATATAGCCGCATTGCCGATTTTATTGTATTTTTGATAAAATAAAAAGCTGGTATTGCGGGATTTAAAACGAAAAAAAATTAGACCTCATTTGTTTTGTAGTTTAGTATTCAAATATCACTTCCGGTAGCCATTTACAAAAAGATTTTGGCGGGGGTTTGAAAATACATTCGAGGACATTACCTATGATGTTTACACGCTGTTAAGCAATGGATAAAGCAGAAATTTTGATCAGAAATGGAAAGTATATCTGTGATTAAAAAATTATCTTTATGTTATAGAAAATTCGGAAAGTAAAATAAAAAAAAAAAACCTCCCTATCTTTTATTGCCAATAAAATTCAAAATCAATGTGTTTCGCATCCGTTTTGGAGAAAATTGGCCTGACAACCAGGGAATTAAATTTAGATAGCCTTAAAATGCTTTTTCGGGATAAGAATTTCTACTTTTAATTAGACCTTTCTGAGAAGTTCAAAGAACCTTGAAGCACACTGAGAGCCATGTAATGAAAATTGTTGCATGAAAAGATTTAATTTTCAAGCTTCATTTAAAGACTTTTTGAATTAAATTATAAATCAAAGAGTTGTCCTTCCTGGCTGAGGGTCGGAGTCCCTTAATGATGTATGTGAATATAATTAGATATGTGAACTTGTGCCACATGCCTTACCTGATTTGTAATGTCGTACACGACGATAGCAGCCTGTGCCCCTCTGTAGTACATGGGGGCCAAACTGTGGTATCGTTCCTGACCCGCAGTGTCCCAGATCTCAAATTTCACTGTTGTGTCATCTAGACACACAGTCTGTGTTAAAAATGCAGCTGAAAAATATTTCATTCATGATAATTAGTCATCTCTGAGAATTTTTTTTTCAAAAGGAAAAATTCCACCACATACACATGTATATCGAAAATATGCTATATATCACCAGCCTGATGCCACAAAACAAGATACGGGTCATGAATAAAGATCCATCTGGTCAAAGCTGGCCAGACTTCATAGCTCATAGTCAAATAAAGGTTAAGTTTTTGCTATAGAAATGTCAATATAAACAAATATTTTTTTTTTTCAGATTTTGTTTTTGATAATAGGGTTTGAATTTAATTTCTGATTTCTGTCTCTCTTCCTTCATGAATGTTGCCACTTATATTTGTTGATAAGTATACAGGGTTGTCATTGACAAATATGGTTGGAGACTGTAATTGTACTTCATATGGAAGATCAGCACACTACAATTTCTACTGCATATGTAACTACAATACATTATAATATTTTCCTAGTGTCTAATGCATACAACTCACCAGACTAAAATCATTATTCATGTATAAAACATTTTTGAAAAATTACAAGGGAAATCTTTGACATATTCATAATTTGTTAAATACTGTCAAAGCACAGATATTCATGTGGGATTAAATTTCGTTTATTTCATTGTTAACAATTATCAACGAAATTAAATCCTACACGAAATTTTATATGACTACATATTGAGTAGGATTACTTTCAAAACAATGAAATTAAATGCCCACAAAACTATTTTTGATGACAAATCAAGGACATTTTATCCCCACGAAAATTTGTGATTCTACAGTAAAATAAATGTGAAAGCAAAAGTCTACAGACCTAACTGATGTTTTTTTTTTAAATTTTCAACAAAACCATGGGAGAAGAACACTTTTAATGAAAATTTAAGGAATATAAGAATGCCTATCTGCATCTTACTCTTAGACATCACCATTAATACAAGTACCTCCTATTGTGCTTTCCTGATATTCATGGAACTGTCCTTTAACAAATCGTAACACTAAACTGGACTTTCCAACAGCTGATTCTCCCAACAATACAAGTTTAAACTGACAGATTTTGCCCTGGGTGGCTCCATTGGGCCTCTGTGGTCCACTTCGGCCTGCCATAGTTAGGCCTTATGAATAGTCTTTATTTCGTTAATCTTGTTAACCTGTAAATACAGAAAACTGGGATTTATAAATATGAGCCATGAAATTAAAATATCTGATAAAATTAAAAAAAAACTTACATTTTCAATATATAAAAAATCTCATGCAAGTATTTATGCCTTCTCTCTTTCATTCATATTGCTTGGTTTGGTAATCACTAAATCAGGTAATATTTTGAAATACTGCAAATCCTAACTCATAAACTCAACTAGAGATACCTTCATTTGTATGCATTATACAAATTCAATATTCTTCAAAGGGTGAAAAATAAATGAATAACCCGTTACGACGTGTATTGTCGATGAAAACAAAACAAAAAGTGTTGTATAAATGAGAGCCCATGACAGTGACTCTGAGTCATAAACTGTGAACAGCGATGTACATACTATATGCCATGAGAAAGAGGTGAAAATCCTTAGATCGTTATGTATACCTCTCCAATGAAAGAAAAAGCTTCATAAATCTATAAATGATACAACACGGAAGGCAGATAAAATATTGACAGCCATTCCAAACACAATCGAACCATTTAGCAACACCACATCACGAGTTCGCTGAATTACTGTACTTACAGAGCATAAAAAAGTTATTTGTTGTGGATAAAAAGAGTATATGTTACCTCTAAAATGTATATACTTCTCTTTAGAAACGAAATATTGCCTAAAATATGAATTTTAGACACGTAAAATGCTTTATTATTACGCAGAAACACCCTCTACGACCTACAACACTCTACTTTTTGACCGGAATACATTGCGCACAAAATATAGTTCTAAATTGTATGGAAATTTATTTACTACAGCAAAGATTGAATCGAAATTGGTGATATCTTTAAGAAAACTATAATACAATAATACTGTTTTATTACTTTTAAAATGTATGAATAGTTACAATGAATTTTGCGCATTTATACAATCAATAATTAACACACCACTATCAAAATGTCAATCAAGTGTATTACGTCAAAAACGGAAATAACAAAGTCTTCTGCTACTGTAATAATTTTTTGGTGATTTATCTACAGGAAAGTGAAACTATCAGTTGACATAATATACTTTATTATAGCATTATATTCAAATTAAATATATACTCGATTCTCATTATATCGCGGGTTTCGTTGTATCGCGGTATGTCGCAAAAATATGGATACAAAGCCTTTATTCTTTTTATTGATGAACAATATTTTTATGTTGTCTGAATGTTTACTTTTATGATGATTAAGAAGTATGGAACATCCGTTTGAAAAAAATATTTTTAAAAAAACGTAATTTTTCAGATTTTCAGTCACGTTTTTATTATCTTTAAGCATTAAATCTATAACCTTGTAAAAATTATACAATAGCTCATCTTTCAAAGGTCTTAAGTTCATGTATTTATTTACTTTTCCTGTAGAATTACATAGTAGATTCAAAAATAAATATTGAGGTCCATGTCATCTGCAAGTTTCCATGTTTTCCTATACCGCGATACAATGAGACTCTCCAAGTTTGGAGGTAAATAAGACTTCCTGTTTTAAAAATAGACAATAACTTAAACGATACAAGCTTGAGATATAATTTTACACTAAAAAGTTAGTCCACAGATTGGTTTATTAATATTTTTTGATGAAAGTTAAAAGTAAAAAATTGGATCAACACTTTTTATGCAAAAGGATTAAGTACCGCGATATAATGAGACACCAGTATATAATATATAATTAACGTTTTACATCTCGATCAGTGTCAAATCGACAAATGTTCCAAATTTTATGTTTTTGTGTCAAATGAAACTTACATGCACTGTACTAATATAATAGTTTTCATTTGTTTTACTCGTGTTATTTATTTATGACCTCTTCTTTTTTCATTTAACTTCACTTAGACAGATATGGTCTAACTTTTGCAGAGTGCTAAAACAGACATAGAAAAAATGTTTTGGACGTCATCGGTTTTGTGGGTCACTAGTTTTACCACATTCTATTTGTTTTCGCATTTTCAACTTGGGACAAAATTTCCCTATGTAATGATTTCATGTAATTATCAAAGCAAAAATGTCTTCAAGTGTCTTATTTTATTTAGACAAAGTTTTCTAATTTTGATGAAAATATTTACGAAAATAATAAAGGAAGCAAACTTTGACCTTTGTTGCTAAGGCCTCATCAACAGAGAGAGGAGTAGGGTATGCTATATATTGGTGAAGGATTTGACAGCTGAAGCGCTGTAAAATCTCAATAATTTGGTTATTTTCTAGATAAAACAAAATGACATCACAAGTTAAGCTACCCGATGTACAAATGCAAGGCATTTATTCTGGAAAATTTAAAGACTGGAGTCCATCTATAGCCCCCGTAAGTATTTTATAGATGTTGCACTATCAGAATACAAATGTAATACTTTTCTATTATATTGTTTAAGCAAATCGTAGATACATAACTGAAAAAAGTCAATAAATCACGTCACTTTAGTTTTGTCACTTTCCTGATCAAAGATGTTTGAAATACACTAAATAAATATTTTTCTAGCATCTTGCAATAACATCTTATTTTTTGCAGGCTGGTAAATTGACATCTTGTGGGGACACGGCTATTCAATGTTTGAAGCCAAAAGATGACAGAGTTAGTAATTAATACATGTATAACTATAGAAGAATGAAACAAAATAAATGTCAAGTATATTATACATGCTTATAGTGCGAGCATACTCGAATACCGAGGGATGCACTTACAGCAGAAGAAGAAGAATTCAATAAATAATTTATGAAATACAATGTCTCAAAAAACAAAGAACATTATTTATTTGCAAAATCTTTTATCTTTAGCCACCATCTCCAAGTGTTATCAGAAAGTTCAGAGCAACAGTCAGGCCAGATGCTGGACAGATGAGAGTTTTCTATGGTAAAGCTGGAGACCCCCACCAGCAGTGGGCAGAAAACATGACCCATGGCATCAACACAATGCCATCAGATTCCTCAGGGGCTATTGTTAATCCCCCTTATAAAACCCTATTTCAACAGAGATTAGTGGACAGAAAAGAGCGACTTTATTCCTCTCATCAGCGAGCTCCTCTTGGGAAGTCACATGACCAGTCTACTGGTCTCCCCAGAGGCCTCAACAGAGACACCTTCACCTTTGGTGTACCTACAGAACTTGGTAAATGAAAGGCACAAAATCTATCCATTGATTTGCCATTTCCACATAATTACAATTAATTTTGACTTAATGTTACACTCATTTCCAACACTTTAAATAGATAAACAATAAATCTGCATATAGAATTTGGCAAGGATTAGAGAGTGTTCGGCAATTTTTTTGCAACAATAATCCCAACACTTGATATTTATAGATATTGGAGCTGGTGGCTTGATAAATCCAAACAAGACTTATGCTGAGGTTGAGCAAGAATCAGCAGTGGGACATGAGCTCTATAGAAGGTCACACACTGAGTTTGATGTGGGAGAGAGGCACAATCGTAATTACAGTGCAAAGTATGATCCTAACTCTAAGTTTGGTATTCCTACTCCTCACCACAATGATGGCCTGATGGTAAAAACTACAATGAAGTGGCAATATGAAACACAACAGGAAAAAGCCAGTAAAGTTGTTTCCAAGAGGGTGGATGATTTCAGGGAGAGAACTCAACCTCAGCTTGGACAGGTCCATGATCCGTAAGTATGAGAGAAACAAACACAAGCTGCAGGATGTTACTGCATGAAACTAGTTTATGAGAAACTAGAAATATGCAACATCATAAAAAAATATCAGTACATGTATACTTATGTATTGAGGAATTGCACTCTTTTAGAACTGACTGAGGGACAAGCAGATAATGATGTCAATGACGGCATTTTATTTTGTGCAATGAAAATTAATGTGAATAGCTATTAGGCATTAGAGATAGAACATTTAAACACTACTTTTTTTTTTATACATCTCTGTCCAGGATCAAGGACACCTTAACTGTTCCCTCTGACCACACATTTGGAATTTTGGTCAAACCTGATGAGTATGGAGCAGGAGATTTGATGCACCAGCGGGCACCAGGCGAGTACCTCCGGGGTAAGGACAGACAAAGGGGAGTTCTGGCTGCCATCAGACAACACCTGAAGAAAGCCAACTATCACAACTTTGATGATTTAGTCCAGGCATTCAAATTCTATGATAAGGTACATTTTTTCTTTTCAATGTATGCAATATCATTTTCATGCATCTGTCATTCTCATGCAGCTGTACATATTCAACCCAATATAATTTGATGAACAGTGGTGATTCTATTTATTTACAGGACAACAAGGGTAAAATAGATATCCATGATCTGAGAGAGGCTTGCTTACAATATCACCTCCCTGTGGAGCCAGAACTTTTGGAACAGCTATTATACTACTGTGATTCAAACAAAGATGGCTTTATCAACTATTTAGAATTTGCCAACTTCCTTAACTGGAAAGACAAGATGAAATCAGGTTTCCCAGAAAAGACAGGTAATTACTTTATTGAAAAATTGCATGTTTTCAGTTTCACTTATTTTGATCTTGCAGCAGTAAATTTCAAGCAATTTCATTTCATGACTTTGCAGAGCTGGAGAAACAAGCAGAGACGAGGAGATCTAGTTCTAGAGCTTCATCCCGGGCGGAGACTACTCTTGATCTGACTGAGCCTTCAGACCTCCAGCCCAAATCTCCCCAGAGTGCTGAGAGTACCCCTAGAGTTCTACAGAAACAAATAGACAAAGCCATTGGGGATCATCGAACTCAGAGCAGCATGATCAATGCTGTGGTTGGTGGCGTATCCACACAAGGTACAAAAATACAACATCCCGTGATGTTTTTCAGAATTATCTTTTAAATAATAAATAACTTAGAAATGAAAGAGAAAAAAAAGTTTTAAAAATACAGATATTTTTCTGAAGCTAGTCCTTATTACAAAGTTTAAAAAAAAATGTTTTAATGAAAGTGAAAGCCCCCCCCCCCCTTCCCTTCCAAAATGACTTAATCATCTTGCATGAAATCAAACCAAATGTAAAGACTAGCTATTATAAATTTTTAACAGGATATAGAACCTATGGTGTCCCAACCATCAGGACAGATTTGCGTGCTCCCAGAATCAAGAGAGTGTGTGACACCAAGAATTACGGAGATGAGTCGGATGCTTATGGCCTAGTTAATCCCTCTATCTTCAGTCGGAGAGGAGTCCATGAAAAAGATTTCTTACTGCCTAGAAGTAAAGAAGAGGTAAGTTCTAGTGAATACAGATACTGCTAATCAGTTTTTATTCATTGAACTTTGATTTTGCATGATTAAATTAGACTGTCTGACAATATTTCTCTTATTATAGATATATGTACAAGAATAAATTAAATTCCTGAAAATATAATTTTTTGTATAAAAATATACCAAATAACTTTATATTGTTTAAATAAGGTATCATGCAAATTCTACAGTAAATAACCTCCAATTTAATTGGTATATTTTAACTTGCATATTTTTTTGTGTGCAAATTTAAATGTTCAATAGCAAGAATTATAAAAATTCAGATTCCAACCTTCTAATATTAATTATTATCTGTTAAATTTGCTGATTGTCTATACCATATGGAATAACTTTTCAGATTAGGGATATCTTTGCCAATGTTGGCACTTTGATGACGGGGGATACCTTTGAGGAGCTGTATAGGACTGCTGCGGCCCAGCACCCTAAGGGACATGTCAGTGTAGAGTCATTCCGGGGGGTGCTGGACGATGTCCAGGCTCAGAAAATAATCACAAAAGAACACCCACTGGCAGTGTGATGAACATTTATAGTACGTGTACAATCATTAACAAGGGGAGCGAAAGAGGAAAAGGGGGAGGGGTGCAAATTAAAATTGCAAAAAAGAGCAACAGGTCATTTAATAAGCTATAAATATTAAGTTTTCTCTGTTTTTATGTAAATAAGAAGTACAAATGATCTGTATATGTAGGAAATTGTGAGTATTTCTTGAAAATCAAACAGAATGAACAGCATTGAAAATAGAATTTCCTAAGATTGCATCGTCCCTGTGATAATTAATTCTACCCATCATCCATACTGTAATTCATATCATTTCAGTGGTAAATGTTTTGAGTGCTTACATCATATGAAAGTTTTTAAATATTGTATTTCCTTGATACAATAAATGTTTAGTTTTAATACTGGTCATCTGAGCATCCTTCTGTCAGAGATTTAAGAACTGACTTAACTTTCTTCTAGCTGTGATAATTCTCTTAAATATATGTATGTAAGGCACTTTTAAATACAATGTTTTTATATTTTGTGTTTATACAATAAATTGTACAATTATATAAAATATATTTCTCTTTTCTGTACCTGTAATAAATGAAAAATCCCAGGGAATACACTATATTTTAGAACCATTTTTTAAAATGCAGTTTGTATGAGGTACATGGTTAGACGAGATCTTTCTTTGGTGGCCAGATACATGTAGCTATAAGTTGTAGATTGACTGTCCACAGGTCAGAAAGCTTAATTGGTTTCAAATCCTCATCTTAATCAAAGTACTGAAAGTACTGGGAAGCGCTAAGCATGGCTTGAATTTGAAATTCATCAGTATTCAGAATTTAAATTCCTTATTGCGTTGGAATAAATACATGTAATACTTTGACGATGCAGCTGTAAAGGGGAGGGGGCGGCGAACACAGTTGTTTAATTGAAATACATGTAAACCCAGTTCTTGATTGCCTTGACTGTTACATTAAATAACATCGAATGTAAGTTGTATTACTATAACAAAGTCTTTAAATATGCAAAAAAAAAAAAATAACAAAGAGAATCTAATTTACTATCTCTGTGCAATTTTTTTTTAAAGCAAGTGAGTTACTTTTATTACCTCTCCTTGTTTTTCGCACCATAGAGCAGTAACACAGTTACCCGTATGGAGAGCAAGATTACTTGTGTTGCATTGTGGGTCCAGGTTTCTGCGATAAAATTAAATTCATATCAATGTTACAGTACGATTTTTTTTCTTCTGACTCATCTCATTTCGGATTATGTATATAGCTCTACATTAGCTGGAAAGCTGGGGGGTTTTGGACAAATTTTGAATACCTAAGATGTTGCTGATATCCTTATCTTTAACGTAAAGTGGAGAACACAAAACCTTCCAGTGAAATTTTGAACAAAAAATCATTGTACTCTCAAGAATAATATTCGTACTTACTAAAATTCAAAACTAACTGTTGGCGACCGTGCCTGTCTTTGTTATTATCGGCCGCATAGGTGATCGATCTATTGGCGGTTGTGTTTGAAAGTGCACAGGGAGAATTGAGATATTATTTTTTATTTGTTTAATTTAAAACATCCTTAATGATAACATATAATTAAGATTATGATTAAAAGATTTTTAAAATGGCTTAATATTTTGTTTGAACTGTTTTTATTTAGTCATAGATATTTATAAAGTTATAATTTTTATATAAACGGTTTTACAAAAAAAAAAAAAATTCCTAGCATGGGAACTTGTAATATATACAAGCAATCAGTAAAAGTTACTGGGTATACAAATAATGAATAGAAATTGAACTTTTAAATTTTGTATTGAATATGCTACAGTTGAATAACATAACAATATTTTTTTTCAATATTTCTCATTTATTGTGATACCAATCCCTATTCATACAGCATGTTGATATCAACATGTAACAAAAATCCCCGAAGACTTTACTTCTTTTTTCATAACATTGCTACATGTATAATATAAATTTTGGGTTTAAGGTACTGCATTTGTCTTTTTGTCATTGTGATGAAAAACCATTCTTATCCTTTATCTCTGACTCTCACGCACATGAATTATAATTTATTTGTACCGAAAATTAAAAACGTTTGACCATTCTTTTTCTCGTGTAATATTTGAAGCTGATTTGTCAATATTTCTTTTTAAAATAAAAATGTTAAATTAAATACTAGTACTCTTCTACTTAGAAATAAAAATATATCATTATATTAAAATTCATGAGTATTTTCCTTTGACTCATTTTGGCGGAATTACTTTAAAATGCTTCAGTTTTTTTTTTCTTCACTATGTAAAACATGCTGACAAAAATGAAATAGCCACAACACCCAAGCGTTCAGTCTAAAGGAATTGTTTGCATCAAAATATTTTGTTACAGATAAAGACTATATATAGAACCTAGTTAAACATTTTTTTAATGGAATCGTACATGTACTAATAGATTTGATTCCAATTTGATTTTTAAATACTCATTGAAACTTTTAAATACACGTGCGCATTAAATCTTTTTAGGGTACTTGTATTAACTTTTTCGACTTACACTGCAGAAATAAGATTTGTGACATAATAATTGGTGTTTGCCAGTACTTATTAATATGCACAATATTGTTCAGAGATAAGATCCGCCATTATCCACAAACACAGGATTTCCATACATACGAAAGTTAATATTGCCTCTACTAATTAACACCTATTATGATAACGCCTACAATAAAGTAGCCGACAGAGGGTCGGGGATTTCCAGTTGTATATTTTTAGACGACTTGGTAGAGTTACATAACTTGCTCAGTTGTGCTGTATTTCGTAAGCTTAGTGCTGTATCACTCCTCGAAATTGAGTTCATCATTTTGAAATCGAACATAATATACATTTATTTTAAAAGATATAATCACCTTTAAAAAGAACCATATATATTACACCACGGAGATAATTTAGGTTAACAATAGGAGCCCATAAAAGGCATTAAAGAACTCCATTTGTTTACATAATTATATCATTATTCATAAAGGGCGTGTTAGGGGCGCGTTCAGGATCTTAGTGGTAGATGGAATTTAAGTACAGATACGAATTTCGAACAAGAATTTTGCTAGCCTAGCAGCCACGTAAAGAATTTTATTATAAATATTTATGCTAAGATTGAAATACTGCAATCCTACTTGGATTAGACTTTGCATCACGCGACATGCTGTATATACCGGTATACTAAATGAAGGAATGATCTAAACGTAAAATCTCACACATTCAATTTTGGCATGCTTTTTCACATATATTGTTATAAATTAAATGCATATGATTGTATTATAATAGAATTAACAATTTACAGGTAGACGAGCTGTGTTTTCAAAACGATTGAGTATGTAGCATTAAACTACACGTAAGTTTACTAGCAACTATGGCACTGAACGCAGTCGTATATATGGCCGGTAGAGGTCGTTGATTAAAAGATCATGTAAATCATCATGGAATCTAAAGACACCCTAATAAGCGCTTGCGCATGCGCGCTTAGCGCTTAAAAATTCTTAACATTTTCTCTCTTTTGGTTACACATTTGCTATATGAAGCAAGTCACCTGTATAGTTACAGACAGATTTTTTTTGCAGTGGTCTTAAATACGCCAATGAAACATATGAAGAAGTATAATATCAATAATACACAAGAAACATATTGACGCAAGCGTCAAAAATCGGCCGCAAACCAATTTATATAACTGTTGAAATTATTTTAGAGACTGAAATTTGCTGTGTTTTTTTTAATTTCTTATATTAATTTATCTGTTAAAATATCCTCGTGACACGAAAAAAAAAAATGCACGCGACAATGCCGATTTCTTCATGCATAATGCATGTACAATATAACATGTATAGGCAATATAAACTGTGCATAGTCCTCTGCCTCTCTGCACTCAGTTTGGTACAACTTAACGAACTCTGGTGAGTTTGCTGTTTAAGTAGTTTTTACATAAAACGTACAAAACTGAAGTTTAAACTTAGCTATAGTTTTACCTTAATAAAAACGCAACAAATATATAATATGTGGGGCTCCTCACTCTCTCTTAGAGGATGTTAACCCCCCCCCCCCAACTCCTTCTAGATCTTCTCTTTCAATCTCTTTGTTTTGGTGTTGAGATGTGGCGGGAAAATGTTTGGCACATTGTAAAACGCGCTCTTTCCTAGTCTCCTGGACTAACATGTCGACTCGTAATATTCTTTGCTTTTAAGAAATCAATATTTCATCATATTTTTGAAAAACATCCATAGGAAATGTTTAAATATACACTTCATTTCAAATAAATACAGCAGATCCTGTTTTAAAAAGAGAAAGTAAAATTGTTGATTTACAACGCGGTCTTTGTTTTAGACTATGCCTAACACTCGCACTAATTTTCTCCGCACTTCAGTTATATCAGAGTTTGTCAATCAGGATTGGATGAAATATTTACCCCATTATTTATAAAATTTAATTTTACGATTATTGTGCTTTTCCTAAACATTTAGACAATCTTTGTTTAATATTGATTCGCCAGCGATATGAATGTTGAATATTTTTATTTAAATTGTTAACTCCGCAGAAACGCACAGCGACTTAAAACTTTCATATCATATAACCGACCGCCTCCTGGCGGCCGGTAAAAATGAAGGTATTTATAATCCTATGTTATATGATGACCAGATATATATACTGACATAAATATAAACATTGCAGCTACTACAGAAAAAATATAGTTCATACATTGTAAACCGCTTACATGGGTTTTATATTTTCACTGCAACAGCTGCAACATTAACAGGTTGGGCACACACCCCCAAATGGTCATTAAACCCCCGTTTGGTGGTCAATCGCCCATATCGGCGTCTTTTTTACCTACCAAATGGTGGTCTTTTTTATTCAAATCCAAATTTTATTAAAATAAAGCAAAAGCGCATTTACTTAGGCATTGGAGAATTTTAATTAACATATTCCTCGTACATTTAATGCAATTAAGTCAATTTTCCATGTGGAATTTCTTTGGAACTTCGTAAAAACAAAACCCACGGTTGTGCGTGACGGCCGAACTATTTGCTCAAACAATACGAAAAAGTATTTTATTGTGTATAGTTTGGTAAAAAATATATTTAAACAAGAGGTGTTAGTCTAGAGAAGTAACTTTTCAAACGATCTTTCAATCTGCGTCTGTATAAATCTCTATAAAATCCCGTTAAACACGAGCTCCTCGTATTGTATTCGTATGGTGGGCACTTACTGCTATAATATTCATTTTTTCTACATTTGAATGTAACATTTATTTTTTATTTTCTTTTAGGATGAAGTTACGATTTCTGTGCGACCCTTTGTGGTTTCATATGCATATCTATGATGTATCTACTATATTTATTAAAAAATTTTTGAATAAAAAATTTACAAAGTGACATTTGCAATTATTCTTATT